GAATGTTGACATCAGCAGTGATAATGCTCATGATTATGTGCACATTTCTATATTACCTTGTAAACTGTAATGAAGACGCAACATATTACACAACACAACGCACCATTACACAATATGTCAGAAGTAACATATTGCGGAATAGACTTCGAGTTTGTCAGTCTTAATGTGAACTGTCATCCATATTTCGCTACTTCAAAAGAAGAAACCAAAAACTCTTTCAGCGGTTTTGTTTTGAAACTTCTCCTTAAGATAAATTTGAAATGGAATTGATGTTCTCGTACAATGTTTCTGTTTCTGTTTCTGTTGTGTTTCTGTGACAATAGAAGTCATTATCAGCTGCGCTAATGTTGCAGTTGCTCATACAGAAAAACCATTAAAAATTCGTGATGTCAAGCAGTTTCTCAAGAAATGTGGCATAACACTTTCTTTACAGCAACTTTCTTTTAATAATTTTGAGTTTTAGATAAAATAACAATAAATAAAGTTACGACAAACAAATGTCGGAAATTTCCTGTTATATATTTTCTTTCACTTTTGTTTCATTAAAGACGAAGTTACATCAAAAATATTTTATTCAATTACAAAGTTTTAAAAAGTTTACGTTGAATTTATTTGTGCCATGCGAAAGAGTTTAAATTTCATATTTCCGAGTCCAGCACAGTCCAATGTTAAAAGCTGGCGTCGAACTTTCAACCTCTCAACTTCTCAACAGCTGCTTCACATCTCAAGCAGAAGTTGTTGACGCTTTTGAAAAACAATGACGGAAAGGAAATCTCAGCAAATGCATTTCTTATTGTTGTTGCAAAATTTATAGCTGCAGTTGTTATTGCTGCAATAGATATTAAGTAATCTTTTATAAAGAGGTTTTCGAACAGAAGTGAAACAACAACAAAAATTTATTTTTTAAATTATTTTAATTAATTGAATTTTTGGCTGACCATACAGCTGTTTCGAGTATTGCCAAATACCCTTCATCAGTGGTCTTGGAAATAATTCTTGTATTTAATTATTCGTAAATAATTATTTTTGAGACTGCAAGTACCAGGAATCGAACTCGGGTCCTGCCAAATGTGAAGCTCAGAATCAATCTTTTATGCAAACGCAAATACCCGTGAAATACGATTAGAAACAAATACAAATACAACAACCATAGTACAATACACATACATATACATATATGGAGCAAATGTGAAGCATTCGATTCAATGGAACAAGGATGAACATATTAAATATGCAACAACAACAACAATGCTGCACTTGCTATTAAAATAATGTCCTTATCATCGAATTCAGTTATTGTCATATTACCATTGTAGCAAATGGTAATGTCTATTGTTAGCCCCCTTCGCTACAGTTCCCATGCTAAGGCAGCTGCTGTTTCATTTATTGTGACTACTCAATGACTATTGTGACTATTGTGACTGTTGTCATTTATTGTTATTTGCTTTTGTTTTTCTTTTTGTTTTTGTTTTGTTCAATCGTTCAACGGCTGCTGCTGATGGGCAACCAAACAAATACAAGCTTTGTTACGCCTCCTGCTGTTTGCATATACGACACACACATATATATACATATGTGTTATGTATATGGATTCTATATGGATTCTGCTGCAAGTGAAAGTTAATTCCCCTGCCTCTAGTCTCTAACCAAGCGGGTTGGTTGCTGTTCAAATCAGGCTGTTGCTCATACGTTTCACATGCAAAACATACAGAACATTTGGAACATTCAGAACATTTTGAATTTTTTATCCTTTGACACATGAATTTTTGATCGGCATACATTAATAAAAAAACACCAAGGATATGTTGAGACAAAGCAAAAAGGGTTAAGAGTTGTGTTCTTCATTTGCAAGTAATAAATTAAAAATCCAGAATAAAATAAATTTGCATTTGTTGAAATTACTTGCCTAACTTTTGTTATTTAAATTTAAATATCTTCTTTTAATGAATTATTAAAACCTTTTATTTGTTTTAAAGTATTATTGAATCTTATGAAAACGAATTAGAAGATATGCTCATCTTTGAAGGCAGCTCATATTTTTACCCTTTCTACGGCATCTTCAGAAGTATTCAACTGTCCCTAGCTCAGCGGGTGTGGAAGGACTCATTAACTAATATTGGAATATGTATATCGTATCTTATTCCAATCTCATTAATCTGAGCTGACCTTAAAGGTATAGTCTTATTTTATTTCAGCAGTTTATAGTATACCACACCCCTTCCGACCTCATCAGTTCATTACCTTGTTGGTAAAAATGTTGCATTTAGGTGTTGATGCGTTTAATTCACTACGTCATACACACATTGCTCTTCATTTTGAGTTATAGTAATACCTGTATATGCATTTTCGGTCATCAGTAATTATAAAATATAAAAATTTTTTTCTTATTTATTTTCTACATAACAACTTATAAATCTTTTTAAAACATTTAAGAGCTTTGCATAGAAAACGCATGATTCTCGACATACTAAATAGAATTATCAAATATATGCTGTTTTGTATAGGAATTTAAAATTCTTATATTGTTACTTCTAGTCGGAGCATATGCATAAGAGGTGCATTTACGAATAGAAAGAATAGTTATTAAAGGTCAATATATTGATCTGTAAGATCACCAGCGCTGACTAGTACATGCCATTTTTGTAATAACTAGATTAACGATTAGTAACAAAAAACATTTATTTTTGGTGGTTATCATAATTTTAAAGCCTGATATTTTAAAAACTATGTTATATTTTTGTTTAACAGCATAAGATTTTAACGCACTAATATCATTCAGATGTCTGACGATCGTCATTGGCTCTACATTTTTTGCTTGTGTGTTTTTATATGTCATCGTTATAGTTGTGTTACAGTAGCTGTCCTCGTCCTCAATGACGTCCTCCCTGGTCATGTGAGCTGTGATAGCGCTTTGTGCTCCTCCTCAAAATGTTTAAGACGCTGTATGGTTTGAGTTGGAAATGTTTTTACTGTATTCCATTTGAGACTACTGTAGCTCATTTCATGTGTAATGTTGCGCTGGGAGATGGTATGTGTCTTAAAACCTTCAGAGTCCTCTGGATAACTACACCTACCTTTTCTGTTTTTCAATAAGTAAATACGAATGTTTAGTAAATTTTTGATGATATTGATATCACGCCTTGCCTATTGTAAACGCAGTTTAGCTCTTCTGTCTGCATGTCTACTGGAAGCTTTCTAGTAATGACATAGATTACACCATCAGACACTGTTCTATATGCGCAAACAACATGCAATGCATTGCATTTGTGTATCTGTGCCACCCATAATATATATAGTGACATAAAGCATTCTGAAGAAATTTGTTCAAAATAGTTGGAATATATAAATTGTGCCAGATTGAATATTCTCTTCAATAGCTCTCGCCGCAATTGTGAGGAAGATTATTGAAGGGCTTGCTATCTAATTTGTTATTGAAAAGCACACACAAAATATAAATTAAACATGTTAGAGACTTACTTTAGAAAGCATCTTACTTGGTTACAGGATCTCTGCTTGCGGTTCATCTTAGCCTTGATTGTACAGTCAGAGATTTATATGGCAATAGAATGGGCAAATTGGTTTAAGTATACCTCTTAGGTAAAAATTAGAAACCAAGTATTATCTTACTGATTCGATTAAATAAAATTTTGGAAATTTAAAAAATTGAATTGTAGTTGCACTTTTTAACATGCTAATGCAAATAAAATATATTAATGAATTATAAAATGTTCTTGTATATTTCTACGAGGTGTTCTGGTTTGAGTATATAATCCTTCATCATCATTCATAGTTTATTTCCATTATAATCACATCAGCTCAACCATTTTAAGTAATGCTATATATACACTGTAAGAAAATTATTTAATTTTATTTCTTAATTTAAGTTTATAAAGAGGATATTTATGTTACTTCAACGTGGATTCATCACAACATTTATTTCGTTTTGGGAATATTTGAAATTTTTCTTACTGAATTTTGAATTTTTATTTATGTTTTATTTCAACAATAAATTTTTTGCATATCCTTGCCATTTACACATTTTCAGTTTAGCATTTGCACTTAAGTTGGTTTTTGTCTGCATTGTAGTGAGTGCACGCAGCGCAAGTCCTTAAACAGGAGCGGCACCCATTCGCCCATTCACCCATTCACCCATTCACCCTTTCCTTGTTTCTGTTAAGAACAATTTATTTCCGACTTCCTTCGTTTCGTTTTCTCGTTTCGTCTCAGTTTAATTCACTTTATTTAGTTTAAGTTATATTTTAAATAAATAGCAAATTCTTGTAATTTTAATGCAACAAATCATAAATAAAATTGCTTAAGTTTTTCTTTATTTCTTGTTCGAGTATGAAAATAAATTGCATTTTCTAGCAATTCTAGAACTCTTTACCGAAATCCAACTAAAAAATTTTCTTTAACATTTTTTACTCGTTTTCCAAACAAAAAAAAAATAAAAAAAAATAAAACCAAAAAAAAAACAAACAAAATAAACTAAAAATGTCATTTGCAACATTTTCACGAATATTTTGGTGCATAAACTGCTGAATTATTCGGAAAACTTGCGTGACGCTACTTAACTACAACGCCACTATTGGGTTTGGATTGTTCCGAAACTAACAACTCCACCATCCCACCATCCCGCCATTATGCCATCATGCCATCTTGCCATCATGCTATCCTGCCACACTGTCAAATGCCATACAACGTGTGCTAAACTTATTTTTTGATAACTATTTCCATGTATGAATTGTGTGTGTGTGTTTGGATACGTGACGTCACGCGATTGGTACATTTGAATTGATTTTTAACAAAATGCCACAACGCGCTACTTTGACTTGGTGTTTTTCGTCGCTTGGATCTGGGTCCTGACGTTATCCTAACCACCATGTAATGCACCAAACTAAACTGAATTGAATTGAACTGAACTGAACTGAACAAAACCGTGGAATCGCATGCAAATGCATTCGCCAAAAACAAACATCACGTACGAACGCTTATGACAGTTTGCAAAAGCAAGTTAGCGTGATGAGCATGAATTTATCAGCGAAACTAGATGAGCTTCAAAGAGGCGATCGACACTTGGAGACGACAGTCGCCTTGTGCGAAATACGTACACAACTGCAGGAGCTGACAAAATCCGTTGAGAGTTGTCAGAGTGAAGTATCCGAGGTAAGTATGAGTTGACACATAACTTAAGAACTTAAGAACATAAGAACTTGAGAACTTAAGATTTCATAATTAATTAAATTCTCAAAATTTGCATTAATTAAAATGTTGCAGGTTAAACGTGACATGGTCGCAATTAAACACGAATTGGACACAGTGCAGCAAGTCAAGGAGGAAATTGAGGAGCTGCGCGAATATGTCGACAGACTGGAAGAACACACGCACAGACGGAAGCTAAGACTTTTAGAACAAGTTTGTAGCTTAAATTATTTGCCATGTTGTGTAATTAATACTTAAATTTCATATATATTCATGTACCAAAAATATTTCAAATTTATAAAAACGTAAACAGTTAAACGAACAATTCAAATGTCATACTATGTGGCACATGCAACCGCTGGAGAGGGATAGGGAGAGTAATGTCCAATGCATAATGCGGGCAAATTATGAACGCTTTCATTACATTTGTAGTTAACCTGTGCTCTGTGTCCTATGTCCTGTGTATCTTAAAGAACAGATTAGAGTGGTTGCATCTGCCACAAGATGACATTTCAATACAGACCGCTTCTTCATGTTTTGCTATCAGTTTTTTAATTTCATTTCATTTAAAATAAGAGTTTATTATTTTTATAAATTCAAAATTTAAAAAAAATAAAATTTATTTTGCTTAATTTTATTTTTGTGTTTTTATTTGCGTATTTAGTTTTTATGAGTTTTTTACATCCACTGTTTTTTACAAAAATGAGTGTTTTTTTCGAGAGTAAAAACCTCAGTCTTTTTTTCACTAACACGATCAATGGTAAGGTGCCGACAGTTGGTAGGAAATCGCTGGCTATCTGATCCTTCATTTTACACATCAATTTTAAATTCTGCTACGGACTTTTAAGTTTATATATTGAAGTCAACCTAAGTGTATATATAAGCGAATAATTCGCCATTTAAAGAAGTATTAAAAATTAGTTTTTTTAATTCTCTGACATGTATCTCTAAATAGCTTCGCGATTTTTCATACTTCCCAACCGATAATATGCATAATTCTTAAAAATCAAAATTGGTCAGATAATTTTCAAGTGCATAAACAACACACATATACTGCCATGCACTTGAATAGGGACAAATATTTTATTACGTATACACAAATATATGACTAAAAGAAACAAAGTAAACTAATAAACAAATATTTTTTTAATATTCGGTATTTCATTTTGTATTGAATGAAAAAAAAACTTTTTCAAATTAATATAGTTTTTTTTTTAAATACTTTTTTTTTGCGTGCTCTTCAAAAATGAATATTTTTATGCAGCACTTGAATAGGGACAAGAACTAAAAACTAATGTTCAAGACATGGTATATAAATGTTCATAAATTTTACGGCTTACTTATTATTAGTGTTCATAATTAAATTATTTTAATAATGTGTGGAGTCACTATTTTTGGAAATAAATTTATACAACCTATTAGGAGGAAAATCATATAATACCTTGATGTAATTTAAGGATACTTCGCTGCAGGCTGTGTTGATGGCATCTGTTTATGCCTGTATGTCCTCGTAATATCTCCCAGCATTATACATTTTTTTGTCAGCTATTCCCATACATTTTTGATTATATTTAGATCAGGAGAATAATCAGGCCAGTTCAATAAAATCGCATTTTGCTGCTAAATCCAAGTTTATGTAGTATGAATTAGGGCATTATCCTGCTGAAAAGTCAACTACAATGGTCCACAATAATGTTGTTAACCTCAGGAAACGCTTTCCCGAGCAAACCTTTGTGATCCGTTGCATTAATTTTAAAGAACACAACTTGCAGCTTACATGTTCCATAATATGATATGGCATTCCATACCATAACACCTTTCTCACGGTTATGTCGACGGTAAAGGAAGTGCTCTTCTTTTCGAATATCATAAAAATATTATTTAAAACCATCAGATCCATTCAAATTAAAGCGATTTTCAACTGAAAACACTTTGGCAAGCCACTCGTTGTCCCAAGTCATGTAATTTTGAGCAAAGACTTGACAAAAATCTTTACGCTGATTATAGCAAAGTCTGCAAAGTTTGCCTATTCTCTATACGTCAGGAAACAGCAAATCACAGACAACAGCAACAATAGATTAAGAGAAGAATAAAACGAAATATACACAAATTCTTGTACCTATACGAGTGCATAGCAGTGTATATGCCCAATTTTATTTGGTGTATATTATATAAACTGTATAAAATATCGTCAATTATATATAGATGAATATCATTGTTGCCACATATTTCATATGTGGTAAGATGTATATTTGACTGGTCAAAAAATACTTACCATAATTCTTTCGAAAGCTTATGGAATCACAAATATTTACATAGATTAAAAACATTTTATTCCAATTAGTTTTTGCATTTTAATAAAAATACATTCCCGTTGCAAATGTTTTATTTCAATAGAAATCTAAGCCCAAAACAACAACAAAAACACAAACAGAAACAAAAACAAAAACTTTATCCTTTCGACCAAACAAATTGAACTGTAATTTTAATTATTTCTGCTGTGCTTAATGACCTTGACTTAAGCTGTTTGGTCATATTTAACATAACCGCACCACAGCAGCACACAAATAAAATATTGCAAAGCGAAAGCTTGCCTTAATGTTTGCCAACCAACAGCCAACAACTTACAACCGACAACAAACATGTAACAACCATTGCCCCTCAAGTAAGTCAAGTAAGTAGCCGCCTGCTTAATAAACAACAAATAACAAATCTGTATGACATGTTGCATAGTTTCAGGCGCTGCGTGTTTAAGTGTAATAATTTTTGTTATTAAATAATCATTGATAATATTCTTGCACTCCATCATAATTGCAGGTGTAAATTTATTAGTTCTTCCTCTGTCGTTCCTCCTCCTTAATATTCCACAGCACAACACAGCTCAGCACAGCACAGCTCAGCACAACAGGGAAGTAGTTGGAAAGTAGTGTGCACCTTTGTGCTTAGGTATTTGCATTATTAATGAATGCGTGTTTGTTCCCCTTTTAGTTAATGCGTGTTTTCGTGTTAACTTAAACAATATTAACGATGTTATGGCAATATTAATTATGTTTTCGTAACCCTGACTTCAATTCTTTATGCTGATTTATGTGCTGATAAGGTCAGGTCGGAAGTAGAGGAGTGCAGGAGTGCAGGCTGGTAAGGTAGGAGTAAAAGATTATAATGTGTAGTAATTATTTAAATTAGAGAGAACATTTTTCTTAAAATCGTTGGTAAGAAAGTTTTAATTAGAATTTGCTACACCAACACTAATATAAACAGATTAATGAACAAAAATAAAAAATAAACAATGTTTTAGAAGTAATGTGTGTTTTGTTGCTATACATTTATATAGACATTATTTATGACTACTACATTTGTACAACCACTACAAAAGCATTTGAACATTGGAAAGAGATTTCTGTTTCAAAGTATAACACATGTTCATCTGTCTATTCGAAATTATTACTTGAGACTGAATCATTGTTCCGTTTTTAGTGCTGTTAATTGGCACTTTTCTTCATTTTCCATATTTTTAGTGTTGTTAGCAGAGCTTAGAACCGGAACCGAAAACCGAAATAAACCGATATTTTTGCACGAACGAAAAAAATTCCGGTTCGATCAGGGCTTCGTACCGAAATCGATATATATTTTTTACTTTTGAACCGGAATGAACACCGGAACGGAAAAGAACGGTTCGAAGTCCTGGTTGTTAGTTGACCGCTTGGTTGTTTGCTTTTTACCTTTTAGCTGGCATTGTGGATGTTGTTTATTTTAATAAGTATATTTTGACTAAGTCAACTAAGTTCGTCAGTATTAACTTGACTGTATGAGCGAAGTAAAGGGTACTTTTCGTTTTAAATATAAATTTGACTTAAACTTAACTAAATATTAAGGATGTGATTTACTATTTCAATTGAAATATACAAATGTCCAAGAGTAAATAAGCCCAATTAGTAACAAAGGTATTAATAATGTTTGACTTAATTGTCCTTTAGTAAAATATACAAAGTATTTTACATATAAATTTCTAATAATTTTTTTTTCCTCTCAATTGTTATCATTTCTATTTATTATCGTTAATTTTTTTTAATATGTTCCAAACATTTACAACACAATTGGTAATACAAAATTGGTATACAAAACTAAAATTAATTATAATTATGCATAAAATTTATTAAAAATGTTATTGAAAATTTTTATTTTTATTTTAATAATATTTTATTCCAACTTTTTCATTCAAATTGTACACAGGGTCTAACGTTTTTCCTAACATACGCGATATTCTCGGCGGTATTGGGTATGCTACAGTTTGGCTACAATACTGGAGTGATAAATGCACCTGAGAAAAACATTGAAAATTTCATGAAAGATGTATACAAGGATCGCTATGGCGAAGATATTAGCGAAGAAATCATACAACAGCTGTACTCCGTGGCGGTGTCGATATTCGCCATTGGAGGCATGTTGGGAGGTTTCAGCGGCGGTTGGATGGCTAACCGCTTTGGCAGGTTAGTATCGACGCAAAGTAAATTTAACTGAAAAATAAATATGTTTTATTATTTTAATATGAAATTATAGAAAAGGAGGCTTATTATTAAACAATGTAGTTGGCATATCTGGTGCGTGCCTGATGGGTTTCACGAAAGTGAGCCATTCTTATGAAATGCTATTCCTGGGTCGATTGATCATTGGTATAAACTGCGGTAAGTTAGTATTTAAAAATTTACATTATCAGTTGTAAGTTAAATTTGAATATGATTTTAGAATTTTTTTTTCCAAAAACAAATTCTTGAGTAGTAGCGAGATTAGAAGAAAATTTTATTTCTAATTAATTGAAGTCTTGGCTGATCAATAGAGCTGCTTCGAGTGTTGCCAAATAACCAGCATCAATGGTTTTTAAAATATTTGTTTGATTTAATCGTTCGTTAAATATTGGTCAAGACTACAAATATCAAGATTTAGCTCTGAACCCTTCCAAATTTGCAGCACTAAGTCACGTTGTCACTCAACCGATCCAACGCTGTGCTTGACTTGTGTTGCTCGAATTTGGAGTTTAGTCAGTTTTTGTTAATCTTCCTCAAAAAATGGGTTATATTATTGATGGATTATATTAAAATGAAATCATAAACTAATAATATATTTATTGTTAGATTTCTATTGTTAGACATTTGATTATAGATTGCTATAGATACGTAATTATATAATATTGCATTGCCTTAAATTGAAATTTTTTAAATAAAATTGTTTATAACTTTAAACATTGAAGGACTCAACACATCATTGGTGCCAATGTATATCTCTGAAATAGCGCCACTTAATTTACGTGGTGGCCTCGGTACTGTGAATCAATTGGCTGTGACTGTAGGTTTACTATTATCCCAAGTATTGGGTATAGAACAAATTTTAGGAACTAATGATGGCTGGCCAGTATTACTTGGTCTAGCCGTTTGTCCAGCATTATTGCAATTATTATTACTGCCGGTTTGCCCAGAATCACCAAGATATTTGCTCATAACAAAACAGTGGGAAGAAGAAGCACGAAAAGGTACATCCAAAAGTCACACAACAATAGTTAGTGAATGAAATATTAAAAAAATAAATGTATGTTTATAGCCCTGCGTAGATTGCGTGCAACGAACGATGTAGAGGAGGACATCGAAGAGATGCGCGCTGAGGAGCGTGCTGAACAATCTGAAGCCCACATGACTACAATAGAATTAATATGTTCAAAAACATTGCGGCAGCCATTAATAATCGCTATAGTTATGCAGCTAAGTCAGCAGCTCAGCGGTATAAATGCAGTATTCTATTACTCCACAGCTCTCTTTATGAGTTCCGGCTTGACTGAGGAAAGTGCTAAATTTGCCACAATGGGCATTGGCGCAATTATGGTAAGCACTTTTATGATTATGATTATTGTATAGTGGATGATATTGATGTGTGTTTCTACTCCTAGGTTGTTATGACTTTGGTCTCCATACCACTTATGGATCGCACAGGTCGTCGCACACTACACCTATACGGGTTAGGTGGCATGTTCATATTCTCCATTTTCATCACGATATCATTCCTTATAAAGGCAAGTAAACACAGAAAAATATTTACATACATATTTACATATTTGCGTAAATCTGTGAAGCGGCAAGTATACAATTTTTTCCACTAATAGAAGTATATATAGTTGATTTGTGATATGTATAGTAATATTAGAACTAGCCTTAGACTTACAGAACTAGGCTCGTAGACTAGTTTGAAATGCCCACTTCGAACGAAAGGCTAAAGGAATTTTAATAAGTTCTTTTGTTAAACAATTAAAACTATTTATGCATGATGTTGTCTTTTTGTTTTATAAGGAATGAATTTCGACTTTTTTAAACAATAAACATAAAACAGTATAGTTAAATTTCAAAATATTCTCAATAATTACATAAATACTATCGTAAATATTATATTAACTGGAAATCTGTAAATATATCGAATTAGATCCGCTTTGCATTCAGATAATAATGATACAGAAATTCGTGCGATAAATTTTGTTCGATCTTACTTTGATGATATAAAATAAAAAGTTCTTAATTTTGGAATAATATAAATAGTAAATTTCATTAAAATAAAAAAAATTAACACATTCAAAATTTATTTAACGATTTCTGGTACACACTCTTTATATAGCTTTTTCATATCTTGCAAGGCTTGCATCATATCTTGCATTGTTACAGTATTCTCTCGATTCTTGCACTGATCGGAAACATAGTCGAAATGGCAAGAGTTGAAATACAAAGTTCAAATCTTTTTGCATGCTTTTTGCTATTTTAAAACACTATTTGTTAAATTATTGCTAAAAACTCACTCTCAACATTTATCATAAAATATATCACAAAATTGAAATTGAAGAAAATCACATTTATATTATCCAAAGCTTTGACTTATTTCAATTTGCATTTTATTATCATTTTATACCCACAATTATCACGCATATAGTATCTTAAGTATTATGGTAAATGTATCTCACACAATGTATATATGTAAATGTAAACGTATTGATATCGAATTTGGCCTCGTTTGTGCTCTGTTTATGGCTTTGTGTCTTTGTAAATATTTGTACGTTTTTGTATATATCTTAGGTTAAGTTTACTTGAATAAATGAGTTTAGGTGTTAAAAGAAATTTTAACAAATGTTTCGAATTCAATAATAGTAATTTATTCTATATCTTCTGCAAGCATTAAGTATGGATTTTCCTTTTCACGCAAATCCGAAATCTTACTGGTTAGTAAGTACAACTAAATAAACTAGCAAGGATTTAAGTATATGTAATGAATTCTGTGAGTTATAAAAAATATTTATTTTTCACTCTTCTCTACTATAATAAAATACAGAGTCTTGGTATTGCGATTCACGATTAATCGTCTGATGCCAAAAGTAATATTAACATAAACCATAGGTTCACATTATTTATAGTATTTGATGGACTTAGTCAATGAGGAACTACCTTCACATTGTCACATTAAATTCTCCGAATTAATTCAGCAATGGAGAACTGCAAGCATTTCTGAGTATTCTCACAAATCGCCAGTTATGCGAATATATGGAGTGAGAAGCGAATAAAACAATCTATGAAAATACAAACAAGCAAACGATAGAAGTCCGAAGAAGTGATTAATCGAATTCAAATACGGGTCCAATACCTAGAGAAGTAATAATTTTTTTTGTTAATTGCTTCCCTTATTAGTTATTAGTTAAATGACAATGTAAATTGTTAAACTAAAGGTGAATAAATTAATGGATATTAAGGTTGCTCTAAAGCATACCAATGTTAGGCTGATGTAAAGATTGGTTTTCCTACTATGCCACATTCAACAAGTTATCATTTCTTTCAAAAGTGTAAATTTGTTATTAGCAAACAAACGAATAATTTTCGAATAAATTCCATAAGTTCTTGCGCCTAAAAGCGAGTGCTAGTGATTACATATTATGAACACCAAAAAGCGATTAGAAAATCAAACGAATATAAACTGAATATTTTTTTTTGGATATTTCTAGTAGTTAAAATAGAGTTTTTGGTTGCAATGAGAAAGTTTGATTTTGAATTGGAATAGAGTGGAATTAATCAATTTTGATAAAAGAGAATGTGACGGGAGATATGTAGATTGGGTCTGATTTATACTAGTGTTAAGCTGACCTAAAAAAACAGATTTCCTTGATGTGTATCTACTATATGACTTCTGTATTTGGTTATCTTGATAGTTAATGAAGGAGCAATTTCCAATTACACATATATTAATATTATTATCTTTGGAAAAATAGTAACTAGGAAGTGTGGTCATTTACTTTACTAATAGCGAACTCGTATTTCGTCACTCGTAAAGGTATAAACATTCAATTGATGTGCTTAGCGTTTCGAACGCTCATTGCATATATTATGTAGTGGATAACATAGCATTACATTTTTTAAGCCTGAAGTGAAGCGTATCGGAAAGAATGTTGAGAAACACTGGTGTAAACGTTTTTTTCATTGACAACTAACTACTTCCGTGTTGATTACATTACAGTGTAACTTGTATTATATTGCTTCTGTATTTGCTGATTATGATTCTTAAAGAAGTATATTCAATATACTCACCAAAAGCGCCTTTCAGAATTCTCTTTGTTTCGTTAAAAAATTTATTGACGTTTACGCTTGGAAAAGTTCAATGTCAGAATGATTGTTGAGATCTATATTAATAAACCATTCTTTGGTTAATTAAATAAATGAACACTTTCTGATATTTAAATTAAGTTTTTTAAGTTAAGTTTTATGTTTATATAAGTACTAAATGCTTAAGAAGAGAAGAAATTACCATTATCTTAAAAAAAAAGCCAAGAAATCAGAGTAAAACTCATTTATTCAAGCGTCTCTTCCCCTGAAAACGAAATAATTCTCGACTTGGCAGGCTTTTTACCTCTGCGATAAAAGTTATTAAAAATGCTTATATTAATTAGCGAAATTTTCATTTTTTCGTATTGTTGTTTTATTTTTTTTCTTATTTGCTTTTACGAAATTGTAATTTTTGTTTTAAAATTTGTTTTTTTATTCATTTTGCAAATTCATTCATTTTGTATTATATTTACACGTTTACACAAGTAAGGCTTTTATTTATTTTATTCATTTGGTTATAGTTTTACAATATTTTTGAAATTCAACAATTCTTAAGCAATTTTTTAAATAACGCCTCTGGTGAGACAACTGTATCAGCGGAATACACTCAAACAAATAAAAATGTGCACAAGTTTTGAATAAATTTGCTAATTTGTACACAATTGGCTTAAGCTGTAGCAAAATTTTGTAAAAATAAATTTGGTGACAGTTTTTTACTTAAACTGTTATTAATAATAATACTTTTAACAAAATTTCACAGTGTAGTTTTCTTCACCACACTCTCAACTCTCAACTCACCACCCAACACAGTAAACTGCAACGTTAATATAGCATAAGCAGATACCTTTTGTAAATTATAAAAAATATGACAATTTTGCTGTTCAACTAACATACGCAAATGTTAAAAAGGCAATTACTCAATTAAAATAGTTAAATCAGTAGCAAAAGTAAAAATCATTTAAATTGCTTAGCTTTAAGCTAATTCACCACACCAAGTACGAAAAATACAACATACAACAAAGTACACTGTTAAAAAGTAAACACACAATTTTTATAGTAACATTTTTTTAAAACATTTTTAAGTATTCTTAACTCATAGTTCGTTCACAAGCAAAGTAGAAATTTAATGCTCATTATTGCAAGTGCAAAGATTTTGATTGCGGCTTATGTGAGTTCCTGAGAACAACTTGAAGAACAGTTCAACAGAAAACAAAGCCCACAAAACCACAAATTGTTACCTGATCAAGGAACTCCGGCATTTTTAAATTATTTTCACATTAATAGCATTTAATCTTTAAGCCAAACCGGCAAATTTGCACATAATGTAGTTTACTTATAGACAATAAGTTCATCAAAATTTTTAAAAACATCTGCGAGAAACACTGCAGACATCCATGTGAACTAGAAATAAGAGTTCAAATTCCTTATTCAATAATCATACTTTTTATATTAAGAGACAAAAAAAAAAAAACAAATCAAGAACGAAACTCAACTCATGCATAAAATTAGTCAGAGTCTCCAACACTCATTTTCTATTATCACAGACCCCTGTGATATTCACCAAAGTTTAGGTAGGTAATCAATCAATCAATCAACCAAGAATCATGAGGTTCTAAATATTTTTCGATTTTATTTGATTTTATAATTTCAATTAAATTTTTTCATTTATTAAAATTTCGAACGCGAAAGCAAAGCAAATTAAACATGAATAATAAAATGTAAAAAAAAGAAATAAAAGAAATGAAAGAAAATGAAAGAGAGGAAAAGAAAAGAAGTAAAAGTCAAGAAAAAGCCTACAAACTATCGAGAATTTGGTTATTACGTTTTGTATAGGAGTTTTTTGGTTATGTGCAGGAAATGATCGACTGGATGTCATATCTCTCGGTTGTGGCAACACTTGGATTTGTTGTATTCTTTGCCGTTGGTCCCGGTTCCATACCATGGATGATAACAGCGGAGCTGTTCTCTCAAGGACCACGACCAAGTGCAATGGCAATTGCCGTGTTTGTCAACTGGTTAGCAAACTTCGTAGTTGGTATCGGTTTCCCCAGTATGAAGGTAAGTTATTTGTATTCACAACTTATTATAATAATATAGTATATAAAATCTATGTCCTATGTTTTTACAGAATGCTCTGGAAAACTACACGTTCTTGCCATTTAGCGTATTCTTAGCCATATTCTGGATATTCACCTATAAAAGGGTTCCTGAGACCAAAAACAAAACGTTTGAAGAGATTCTAGCAATGTTCAAGACTGAAAATGGAAGGTAAACTATTTGTTATGAATTCTTTATTACTATGACTTGTTTTTTAAATTTTCTTATTGTCATGGAGTAATTAAAAAAGAAACACATACTATTAAAACTACTTTCATAACTCATACAACGATTTTAGAGGTACTCATTTTATTTATTAACGAGGAACTTGGAAGTTTATTATGCAGATGAAATTTTTTTGATATATTTTGAATTATTCAAGACGTTCCTAATTTTTTTTATATATCGACAAAATTGTTTTCGAAGTATATATTACCCATAATTTAATGTTTATTCATGATTGGATCCTAATAATAGAAAACGGTTGTGTTATAATCCAGATTGAAGATCTATTTTTTCTTATAAGTGAAATTTGTCAGTTTTTATGGTAGAAGGCCATGGGGAATAAAATGAGAATGAAAAAATTATTTTTTGTTTATAATATATCTGAAGGCCTAAACGAATCATTATCAATTTAGGCAATAACAATGCGTACCTACGAGTTTACATTGAAGAAGAATAGTTCAATAGCCTTCTCAATATGTCTTGTATCTGTTTTTCCTTTTATAAAATAGCTAAGCGTCCACACTGACAAAACTTGGGAAAGATTTTCATGTTCGAGTGCAAATACCCATTATTTTCAAATATTCTCTTCATATATAAATTTTGTTGTCATTAATATTCCGTTATGTTTCCTTTTAATATACATTAAAATCGTTAGGAAAATGACAAGACTTTTATATAACTCTAGAAATACTACATTAACTTCTGTGTTAAGTATTAAATCCATTTTCGAAGTGTGAAGGATTAAATTCTCTTCTTTACAAAGTCTACTTCAATAGTTGCAGTAAAACTAAAATTCGTTTCATTTTCAATTGACTTCTAAAGATAACACCTTTAATGAAATTCGTTTTCCTCTATTTTTCTTACAACCTAAAAATTGTGAATTTATGTAGTGCTTTTTCGTTGTTGTTGCGGAAACCCATTTAGTTTCATCATTTTTGGAGAAGCCTGCAAGCTTTGCTTTCCTTATATGAAAGCTAAAATGAAAGTAAAAATTGTACTCAGTTCTCGTAAACTTTGTTATGTAGATGGTAGATACCTTTTTGGATGTTTGGATATTGTTTCAACATTTCTACAGCAGTCTGTGATTCGTATTTAAACTACAACGAAAGTAATAAATTAATCTTGGTTGTCGTAGACTTTGTGAGGTGCCTGTACCTTTTTGGATCTTGCGAAACTGATTCGTTTTTCTTATGAAGAAATTAAAGTATTGTGAAAGTAATAAATTTCATTTGATTGTGCGATATTATAAAACTTCGATAACGATTTGTTGATATTAAAAAAAGTCCTTTACCGTTTCATATTATTTTTATTTTGAATTCATATTTTTATTTTGAATTAATATTTTTATTTCGAATTAATATTTTTATTTTAAATTAATATTTTTATTTAATTTTTGCACTTATCATACTCAATCATTACATAGTAATTATTTTAAGTTTTCTTTCCTACATATTTATTATCTCCCCAATTACTCTAACTAATCCCAACTATATGAAGTATAGTACACTAAAATATATTATCTCAATATATAATTTTTTGTGAATTTTGTTTCTTATTAAATAACAAAAAACAATGATAAAAACCAAATTATGTTGAAATGAAACTGAAAATGAAAACATAACAACGCGTTACCCACAGGACTTTTCGAGATAGTAGACTGTACGGGTAAGTTGCATGATGAACAATCGAACTTATCTTAACGTACAAGTTCCTTAATTACATTTACTTAATATTTAATAAATTTGAAAAAAGGCAAATCAAATTTCAATATCAAAATTCATATGTTTTACATACAAATTATAAATAATATTTTATATACATTTATGTAAAAATTCATTGAGTCTTTTTGTAGAATTTTTATATGTAGTTTGAACCTAATTAATCCATTAAAAACAAAAATAATCAAAAAATAAAAATGCATATTCAGTGGTTGAAGAAGAACTAAGGATATATAAGCCAATTTGTGCTTCCAATTCAACATTGTTATATGTATTTTTCTTACATATTTAATAAAAAATTTAATAAAACAAAAAACCTTATATGTTATTTAAAAAAATATAAATATACTTTTGAATGCTTTGAATGCTTTGTTTCATGAAAACCGTGCCTAATTACATTTTAAATAATATTCATAGCATTAAAATATTAAAATAATTAGTGAAATACTTTTTTATTAGTTAAATCCCAAAAAAAAAAAACAAAACAAAATAATTTTTTATGTCATACGTTTGTTCTTCATGCTCTACCACCTCTATCTCACGATTTTCGTTATATATATATATATATGAATCAGTATCGCAACTTCATAACTCATAAGAAATTAATTAGTCCAATCCGGAAGTATAATGATTTATTTTCAAAAAGTATTTGCATTATTTCATTATTTCATTATTTTATGATTTTATTATTTTTTCATTTTATCATTTATAATTTTGTTTAATTTTATGATTTTAATTACATTCCACACAAAATCGACACACACAAAATTTTTATTTTGCGACGACAGTAAAGAACCAACACCAGCTTCACCATCTTCACCAACATCATCAACACCACCACCGACACCACCGCGACGTCGACAGTACAAAGAGTCTTTTGAAATGGTGTTTCCAGAACCTCGAATATGTCCAAAATGTAATAAGCCCAAAAGGGTTTTTAGAACGAGAGTAATCGTGCAACAACCAATAAACCAATAAACCAAACAAAACCAAATCGTACATAAACTTCTCATAAATATTAAGCGAATTATCATTATCATTTCCTTAATTACTTCAATTATTTTAATAATTTTAATTATTTTAATTATTTTCAAATTAATTATAACAATATATGTTTATTTTTTTTTTTATTTTTATTTTTTTTTGCTGTTGCTGTTGCTGTCGATTTGTATCTCGTATCTCCTGTTTAGAACTTAAAATGCAAGCTGTTTCAAAACTACTCAACAATATGGTCTACGTATGAGTTTGCTTATAAGAAAAATGTTCACAATACAATAAAATACATATATATATATCTACAATTTATCATTCTTATTTATCTGGATACTAGAATGTTAGTAATTTTGATTCAGCCCTGCGTTTAGTATTAAATGTTAATTGTTCGTTTTTGTATTTATTTTTTAATTGACAATGTTTTTTTTTTTAAAACTGATGTTATATATATAAAGAATATATAAAAATTATTTTAATTTTTAATGCGTTAAGTAAGACAAGTATTTAAAAATTTTAATAAATAAACTAAAAACAACGACAATGTTTCAATAAATTTCCACATATATGCGTTTATACCAAAACCCAATACGTAGCAAAATGGAATATGAGCTGTGCTATATATCTGATACTATACTTTTTCAGATCCTGTGAATATTTAAAAGTGAAATTACATGCAGGTTTAATTTACATCTAATTTCTTCAAATAATCTTTCTCATAATCACAATTGATTCAAATAAAGTATTATGTTTACTTTCTAATATAGGTTACATTAGATAAGTTTAATACGGTCATCTTACGAATCTACCACAGGTTGTTGGTTTTGGGTTACTGGTTGAAATAGTGTGAGCCCATTTCGTGTTTTCAATAAAGCTCAAGATGCTCTTCAAAGGGAAATTACTTTCTAATATAAGTTAGGTTAAATCATTTTAATCAATTTTAAGAATCTGAGCTCAAGAAGCTCTTCAAAAGAAGTTCCAGCGTATCTAAACAGAGTTTTTTATCTTCCTTGCAACCGTTGTAGGAATCATTTAAGTGAATATTCAATTCCCAGGCATGGTTTTCTAACTTCTAATTTGATAATGACTTGTTAGTCTCATATATATGAAAGACTCATCTCAATAAGATTACTACTGAAATGTCGGAAAATAACAAAATATATACGTAGTCCTTTTATCTATCTTGCAACTGTATTAAGATTTGTTAATATTCAATTATCTAGCATTATTTTATGTTATCTCCGTAGCGATCGCGTTTCTCAATCCGATCGCTACGATCCTATTATTTGTTATTTAAAGGTAAGGGTGGACAGATTATGAGGAATTATAATTTAGAAAATTTATTCAAATAAGTTAGGTTACTAACTAAGGTTACTATACCGTGTATACCTTGCCGTGTCTTGGAATTGGTTCAACAGGTCTTAATTTAAAAACAATACCAGTTAATAGAATATCTGTCTGATATTCTTAAGTGATTGAGTAGAGCATATTTGTGTTGTAAAGCAGCATTAAAAATAATATGTTTTCAAATTTATTATAAAGTACGAAAGTTTTTCTGATGAAAGTGAATTAAGTTCATCAGAAAGTGGATTTAAGGAATATTTAGTTATTCTCTTAATATATTTAATAACTGCTATTCCATGATAAGCTTCAGGAATGGGAGTACGGTACCTACTGGGTTTTCTTGTGTAAGAGCAAAAACTAGAACTGTTTTGAATATGAAGATAAATAGATAGATGTCAATGCAGCCTATTTTATGAAAAAGGTGCTCGTTTTGGCCCTAAGAAGTGAAATCATTGTAATATTACAGCGAAATCTTAAAACATAATAGTGGATTGTAGAAGCTTCGGATAAATAATAACTATAACCATAAATTTTCTATAGGGAAACCACCATGACATTTTGATAAAACGATTAACGATCGAAATACACTCATTAAAGATGTTTGATAGATATTACTTATTGCATATATCTTAACATTTTGTTGTTGTTGTATTCTTTTTTTTTTCTATTTTAAAATTGCACAATTTTAAATTTTGTTTAATTTTTTTAATGATTATTTAAAATCTGTTAATAACTTCCAAGCCTAAAAGACTAATCAGAAACAATTTAAGACACTTAAACTCTAGCAGTTCAGTTAACTCCAAAGAGCAAAAAAATATATATAGAAAATCAAAAATATTTAGGGAAAATGAAAAAAGAATTAAAAACAAAAAAACAAAAATTAAATTTAAAAAACGTAAACACTTAAAACATAATCGTAGAGTGTGCGAATTTCAGGAGTATGCTAAACTGTACAAATAGTTTGGAGCCCCAAAGTATGAATTCCGGCATCGAGCATGCCGCATTGATGGTATCTGAGGAAAAGACCCAACACGATTCACGTAAGAATAAATAAAATTTAACAAATCAATTCAATAAAATGTAATTTTTTAACTAACCAAACTAAAACATTTTTAATTAATTAGTTAATCAATTAATCAAATAATCAGTTAATCAGTTAATCAATTAATTAGTTAATTTATTTGCAAATGACTGCATTAAACCGTTTATGTCCGATTAGACTACTAACAAAATGAATCCTTTTTTGTTTGAGCAAAACTCCTTACACTTACACAACCTAACAGATATACTAACACATGTATTAATTTTAACATTAACTTATTAAATTATATTAATTTTTTCATCATTCTTAACAAATTTTTAGAATTATTTGAAATTACATTTTTAATTTTGATTTTTTCACGAGTGTTTTTCATAAGAAAAATCTTGTTCTGCATCCTTTTATGTGTTTGCATAATTCTTCATATATCTATAAACTTGATTATATTTTAATGTCGTGATTATAGTTTATATATAAATGTTATATATTTGTATGAAATTTGGAATAGAATGACCTAAAAATGTTAGTGTTATTAGAGCTTTACTAAAGTGAAATATGTATTTATAAAAATTATTTAAGAAATATAATAATGAAAATGCTATGGAATATTAATCCATAACCTAATATAATTATATATGCAGATAGGAAGTAAATATTATTACACATTAAACAACATTATGTATAATAACTAAATGTTCAATTTAAATCAAAATTTAGAATACTCATACGCCTTGCGTAATTTGAACTATAGTGGTTCAGATATTATTATTATTATTGACGGCCCTATGATCAAAGAAGTCGACGTAAAATAAACTAAACATAAAACCATTAAAGTCTATTTAAAAAATCGAGAGATGCATTCATTTGTAGTGTAAGTCAGATTTCATGTTCTTAAGTTGGAAAGTCCCTTACTATGTAAAACACATTGGTGGATGCAGATTTCATATTGTTATTAATTCCTTGTTATATTTAGTATTGAACCAAATTGGTTTACTACTTTTGGAAAGCTTCTTTCTATTATTATATCTTGAGTTTTTTTATGAATTTTATTATTACAATAGTAGTCGTAAGCATATATGTAAATAACGTTGTTTACCTTAGGACCAGCATTAGCCCCAACAGCAACATCAGTCTCAAGATCAAGTGAAGATTTTTCTTTCCAGAGTCTTTATAAAGGTTTAGTATGCAATTGAGGTATCGAGTACTTTTTCGGTGATAAAAAATAATTCTATACAAACCCTGTATTATTTAAATACATCCCAAAAAAACAAACAACCAGTTGAATAAACTATCTGTGTATAATGAATTCCGCCACCATTTCTTACCTGTCTTACCCCCAACGCCACATGTAAATAGTATTAATAGTTTGTATATTGCTAGATGTTTTAATATTAGAAATTCTCCTGAAGAAGGCAGAACCGAATTTGCCTAAACACAAAAAACAAAAACTTCATTTAAAACATTTTCGAAGTAACGACTCAAAATTTAAATCAAAATTAAACTCTATATAAGTTGTTATGACATTATGCACTATTATATGGCGCAAAAGTATAAAACGATAAAAATTAATAATTAAAGATCCATGGGATTACGCAAAATCTTTGGTCTATTAAGTTAATGATGCATATGGCTCTCTATGGAACGACAAGTTGTATGAACTATACAATGACATTAACATATCCGGGTGTTTGAAGATCCAACGACTAAGTTTGCTAAGCCATACTATCACAATAGAAGATGACATTCTAGTAAAAAAGGTCTTAAAACTCCATCATTAGAAGGTATTCACGGAAGAGGGAGATCTCTTGCTTGATGTTTCTGACTGTGCACGAAATGTTGAGATTATTGGCAATAAATGTTAAAGATTTACATATGGTTGTAATGTCAAATTAGGTATATAAGCGTGTTCTTTATATATAGTATTGCGACTCACATAAGCTTGGACCCATTTTTATGTTATTTTTACCGTTTTGAGGATTGTATTTTGTCTTCTCAGTTGCCTCTACCGCAAATTTTATAACTAACAATTTGTATAATGCGACGTACTCATGTATCAATTCCTCAAAGTAGAAATATGCTAAGGAAGAATCTCTATCTGAAACGAATCGTACAGCGATGTTCAATTGCTCATTCCATGCTCTAATTCTGACAGACACTACGGAAGCTTCTATTGAGCATACCCTATTTAGTTGCGGGGATATCTATCAATGAGCAGTAATGTTGGGCGTAAGCAAATAGACATTAATGCTTGTCATAGTTAGGACAACGTTTATTCTAGGTAAGCAGAATGTATGATACATTCTGGCTTACAAACCGGTTTTAATAAGCTTCAACCGGTTTTTTAAATCCAACTAGTTACCTATTTGAAGTGCAAAAAAATAAATTATGTCGAAGCGTTGTTGTACTATAATCATATATTTTATTTCTTAAAAAATATAGTAAAGCCCTAATAATATCATAAACTAATTTATGTTGTAGCATTATTTGAATTGTTAATTGTTTAATAGCCGTAATTCTTTTGTGTCTATATATGAATACACGTCAGAAATATGAAATGAAACCTTTTATCCTCAATTATAATATAAATCAATTATATATATACAATTCATATCTAACCTCTAATTACCGAGTCAATAAAGGTTTCAAAACGAGACAAAGGAAATATGGTTCTCATTCAGTATTTGTTTGTTTTATATTTATTTTTCAAATTACGTATTTCATTATTTACTTTAAGTAAATTTAATATTTATCTATGTAAAACATGAATATGTTTTATATGTCTTTTAAAATCATATTTCTTACTTTCAATATTAAAAATATTTCCATAAAAGTTTTTACTATAGTTGATAAACATAATGGATGTTATTTGATACTTGTTCTGTTTTGTAAATATAATAGTTCGTTAAAATTTAATAGATATATAAAAATTTTAAAAGTAGTCGTCAAATTGACCATAACATATAGGAAAATCTATATAGGGATACTTTTAGTAAACATTTCACGTCCAAGGCCTTTAATAATTTGCCTTACCATAAAATTTACCATATTTTAGTTTGTCTAACATAAACTTCGGAAGAAACTACCCAACAGATACGTCTATTATTCTTTCGGTGTGACAATCAAGTCGCAGATCAGAATTGTTTTAGTAATTTATTCTCTAATTTCAATATGATTTAGTATACATCACTACATCTTTATGGTCACAGTAAATATGTTGAATGTGTTCTACTATCAATAACTATTATTTTTTTACGCAAAATATGAAACGTCCCACCATTTATTTCACAATAAATAAAATTAAATAAAAAATTATTAAGTATTTATATAATAAATTAATATATATAATATTAACGACATCAGTATTAATTATTTAGTTCATGACTTGCATATGTATTGAACTCATTGGTCAGTTTTTTAAGACTGATCCCTAACGTGTATATACACACATAAATCTTTACAATTCTAACACATCTATACCGTATATACTATTGAATTGTAAGATTTCCTATAAATTTAAACACTAAAAGTCCATCATGACTTTTCCAAAACCATAATATTGATTCTTTGTTAAATAAACGATGTCATTAGTCTCTTGATAAATACATACATTTTATATTAAAAGATTACAGAATCCTGCAATTCACTCACGCTTTACGTAGTTCAAATGTTTACATTAAAATAAGCCGAAGTCAAAGTAACAATTCGCAGCACCAAAAAAAAGAATAACCAATAATTTTCTGGAAAAATGTCTTTATAAACATTAAAAATGTTATTGTGAAATAATAGTTATCATAATGATGAATATTTAATATGGAATGTTCATATTCAATGGTCCGTTTTAGACACTATTCAACTAAGAAGTTAGAACTTCGGAGTTCTAACTGCTTATCCAGTTACTGCTGTGCTATCCAGTAACACGCCTGATACTGATACGTCGTGCAAATAGCCAATTGCAAATCACTGTAGTGCTCTGTAAGTACTTTTCTACAACAACTCCTTTCCTGACAGTTTGTAAGAGTCGGCTGTGCAAATGCCATTCACTGTCAGCAACCTTTAAAGTAAACTATTTGAGGATGTGATTTAGCCAGTTCTAAAGTCTGATATCGGTTATATGAGTCTATTTAATTCTAACGAACTTCTCTAAAATAAATTAATTTTAAGTGATTTTAATTATTATTAAAATTTAATTAATTAAGCATTGAAATGTAGTATTTATTGGCTATATATAAATTAATTATATTATTTTCTACTAATTACAAAATAACTTCTTCTACTTAATAATATTTAATTTATAATTTTCTTATTTTGAAAAAAAAAAAATCAATTTGGCATTTCACATTTGCGGTAAAACTTTTATATCTAAACCTGACACACATAACTTTCCAATTGGATATCTAACAAACCAAAATGCTAAATCTGACAATTTGGACAAAACTCATCCGTAAAACCATAAAAACTAAACACTCAACTGCTTCGTATGTATCCGAAATTGAAATTGAAATTAAAATTAAAATTAAAACAACAACAAATTTGGAAAAATGCATGCAAAAAATTAATTTCATTAAATTAAAAATAAAACATAAAATGAAAACAAAAATACTAAAGTCTTTGGTACCACTTCGTTTTCCTTGACGGTTGAAGGCATGGGTCCATATCCATTGAGCGATAGCACGAATCTGCTGGGTCCAACGACAAGTTTAGCGGCCAGTTCGACTTGTTACACCAACTACGGTACAAACATACACACTCCAGTTCCTATACGAAAATGCTATTATGATTACAGCCGCGATAGCTTTCGGCGGCACTCGGCGCACGGAAGAATGTGTACGTCATCAGGTAGAATTTGTAAAAACTGGAAATTTTCACTGCTCTAACCACCAGCAAAGAACTCACCTTGTCAATAACACTTTAACACAAAACTAACACAAAAAAAAAAAATAACTGAAGTAAACTGTTCAGCAAACAACAAACAAAACATTTACACAAAAATGTTGTGAAACACACAGAACTGCACTAACTTTCTTTTGTGTTTAAGATCTTTGGTGAACGAAAAAAATAAAGGACTTTCAAGGTTCCAGAACGTATTCAAGAGTGCAATTTGAAATGCTTTATGCTTGCCTCTATAATTAAGTTTAACTTAACAAATAAATGATCCACAAATAAGTTTCCATTAGTAGGTAACTATTCTCAGTTAAGCACAAAATATCTCTAGGTCTCTGCGTAGCATAGTCCCTTCTTTTCTTGTCATTTAAGTTGCAAAGTTATTATCGGTAACTGAAAGAAGTTTTTGTGTTCTAGTTCCATACCACTTTAAATCCCTACTTTGAAATCAAACTTGGATTAACAGTAACCGCGATTATACATATTATCTTTTATTTTCAGATGAGATTACAGCGACGGTGCCAACAAGTTTGATTTTCCTTCTTTTATGTTACTTTGTATCAAATAAGTTTATAGACATCTTAGATTCAAATGGCAATTGGTATTATCCTTTCTCAGAATCTGAGGGCTCATCGTATACATGGAGATATTTTCTTTTTGAAAATCATATTTTATTAATAATACTATGAAGTTTATAAGTACAAAGCGAAAACCTCAGTTTGATAGTTAGTATAAGTCACATGGGCTTAGACTATCATCGAGATACTACTTTGTTAATGTTAATAGGAGAACAGTGTTCGTTTTTCTATTTAAGAAATTAACTTAGTTCTTTAAAAGATTTTACAAATTTTTTATTGGGGCATGGACAGAGACTGATAAATTATTTAGTAATGACATAAATAGAAGTTGTATGAAGGAAACCATACAACGCCTTGTCATTGATTCATATTTAACAGTGAATGAATTACCTGCTTTTTCAAATTAATACTCTTATTAACATTTGATATTCTCTCATTATTGTCACTTTCGCATAATTCTGTCAAAATTACACAATAACTAATCTGACATAACGTTTCGAATATGTTAAGGTTTTCCCAATAACTAACAGGGTTGTTGGAGAGTTGTTGGACATAAAGACCTAAAATTGAAAATCTGTCGAAATCAGAAGTGAGATACTATCTTTCATTTACATTCATAACAGATCTCTGCTCTAAAAATTATGACAACAGACTGTTTTTATTATTGTTAGATTAGATCTTCTGGTGACATAACATATCCAAATATAATTAAATCAAATTAATATCCAAAATTAGTGAAGACGTGTACACAGATTAAAAAAGCTTTCTCACACATACAAAAGAGCTTTATCTCGCTTATATTTTGACAAGTGAAAGCGTTTAGAAAAGGTTGGCAAGATGGCATTGTCGTTTTATGTGCAATAAAAAAGCTTTCTCTCACATATGTATGTGAATTAGAAGTGTTTATGAGAAGTTAGCAAAGCAAGGTGGTTATGTCGCGATAAGATCAATCATTTTTAAACTTCTAATATTTCAAGTTTGTTATATGAAGGAGTCATATTTGTCATATTTGATTGTAGCCGTAACTAAGTACGAATCCTTTATATCTTTTTACAAATTATTTATACTTTGCATAAAAAAGCAGCCACCACCAATAATTTTTCAGAAAAATTACTTCAAGATGTAATCGTAGGTGCTTTAAGAATAAAGAGGGTTTGTTTGTAAAAATTCTTCTTTGTAAATGAATAGAGTTTCCTCAAGTTATTTAATATTTGGAACTCTTCGTCTTCAAATTGCTGAATGTCAGCATTGATTTAGGATCCATAAAATGACACGAGTGGCGATTGCATGTAAACTGTGGTAAAAGTAAATCCCCTTAGGTTATGTAGTATGAAATTAAATTGAAATTATCAGCAGTTATTGACACAATAATTATATACAATATTTTAAATAAATTTAATAATAGTTTTTGCACATAAGAGTTCAGAAACCGCACATGCTTATCATATAAAATTGTTTAGCACAAAATGCCAATTATGCGTAACAAAAACTGAAATACTGCGTCGCTGAATAAAAATTTATTACAAGTATTTTTAATATTTTATTAATTATTTAAATTCTTATTAAATAATTTTATTATTTTTCATTTGGAATCGTTCATTTCATATGCAATATCAAAACTGCCTTAAAGTCAAAAGTAAATTTTTATCGCATGCTACATAATTGGCATGTCATATATATCGCATGCACTATTTAAATGTTCACGTTGTTCGTTTGTTAGCAATACACACGTTGTTTTATTGTTTTTTAAAGAAATGCACTTTAATGAATATTTATAAAACACAGTCTTATTAACTGTATTAACAAGTGTTCACATATATTAAGTTTTTATATAGTTTTAGTGTAATTTGTGTAGAGAAACTTTACACTTGTTTAGTTCATTGCTCATTGCAAAACTTAACTTCTGTGAATAAATGGCATTTTCTGCTCTTTTTACTAACATGTTGGTTTATGTTATATTATAATTAGCTGCATCCGAGCGTTGTTTAGAAGGCGGCCGAAATATACACCAGGGCCGGAACGTTGCCTCTGTGCCCCATCACCTTCGTCAGCAAGTACCTGTTTGCCAGAGCAGCGGGCCTTGACTGAGGAACGCCTCCCCTCCTGAAACTGCCAGTGTGCATTCCAACGCTGAACAGCAACAATACAAACAGCAGTACCAGCAACAACATCACCATCATCACGTACATTGTAGCTATGAAAAAGATATTGTATGTGATGATATACAAATGCACCAGCAACAGCACCAGCAGCCACAGCAGCAACATCCACAACAACAACAGCATGATGAGCAACATACGCACTGCCACGCATATGCATATTCGGACCACAGCCAATTGCAAGCAAAGCAATCAGCATCACTTCAATCCACTTCGACACCACATCGGCAGCAGCAGCACCGCAAGCACAGTCATAGCCCACATCATAGTCGTCATACTTCACCACATAGTCATCATTCGCACAGTTTGCACTCGTCACCGCATCAGTCGCATCATCATATGCACGAACGGCTTGACAATGAAACAGATTCGCTTTCACACCCGCAAACGGCACGCCCCTCGACACAATCATCAACATCGCACGCGACGCATCATCATCATCATCGTCGCAAGCGCAAGCACCACAATCATCATCATCATCATACCAGTGGTGGTGCTGGTAGTGGTGGTGGCGGTGGCGGTGGAAGCGGTAACTCAAGCTCGCATGGCACACATGGACATTCTCATAAGCAACAGCACAGCACACACCAAGGACATCATAGTTGTTCACGTCGACACCGTTCTGCCACTGACATTTCAAGCACCTCGATTAATACTTGTCACGATCCAAGCTGCATTGATCGGGAAGTTCAGGAAATATTTGTCCATAAAAGTTGCTGTAATTCTTCACGTACAGAGTTGGCTCAGTACTTTGCCGAAGATCTCTATGGCACCTCTCGACGACCATCTTCTTGCTGCACTTCATCCGATTATTGCTACCAAACGGATTCAACAAGCTTGTATGGCTCTCGTTCATCTCTGAGTCGTAACAACTCTATTAAGTCAGCTTCGATGGCTATGAGAAAGAGACGAATGCACCAACGTCAGCCAAGTTATACTTCAATATCATTGCGTGGCTTAAACGCTAGCCGACCAAACAGTCAATTAGGTTCACTGACCTCTATGTTCGACCGCGCGAAGCAAGTAAATGCACCTGATGGCGAACAGTTAAGTAGTAAAGTTGTTGTGTCTCCATCTAAGGTAACAATAGAGCGACAAACATCAAAAGATGCTTTGAGCAATGATTTACCCGAATACGCCTGCTCTCCTTCTCCAATACGGTGGAGTTTCTTAGCTGATGGTAAGTCTCCAACTGAATTTGATGGTGCAAGTGGTGCTGAATCCAAAGACATATGGAAAATCGAAGCACATGAGCATGAACAGAAGTACCCGCATGAACACAGCCAGCATGAACGTCAACGATATGAATCTAAGCACCAGCACCAGCACCAGCATCAGCACCGCAGTTGGAAACATAGTGACGATCGTCCTAGCACATCTACTGGCATACGAAAATGCAAAGACGGTACTTTCAGCTGTGATTTCGAGGAGTCCACAACAGTACTGTTCCATCAGGAAGCGGAGGCATATAACAATTGCTGCAGTAACTATGTTCAATGCAATACGTACCTAGATCAGGATTTGCAAATAACAAGCGAAGATATACATCAATATCTTTCAAAAGGCAACCAGATTCCTGGTGACATACTTAATAATTCCAAGAACTATCCCTTTCAACCAAGCAACGCTTTAGAGTTTCAATACAAAAACAATTTTGCTAACAACAACAACGGCACAATGTCATCGGAAGGAGGTGACAGTACGCGTACGTTCGACGATCGTTTTCGTCGCAATTCAAGCAAAGAAACAAACTTGAATCAGAACACCAGCTGCGCAGAGCCTGGTGCAAATGGTACGTGTGCAAACTCTACATGTGGTAACAACACACCTCTCTCACCCACAAACATAAATCTTTCATCAAGTACCAACAACATCAACATTGTATTCGGTACAAGTTCCACCACTTGTATGGAACAAAATGCAAATGAGGTGAAGTTTATAAACACAGCACGCGAAAATGCAATGTTAGCTGAGGTACAGCATTCGGGTTATCTGCCTTATGCCTATCCGAGCTACGACTACACAAACATGTCGACAAATTCAGTTTTCGATAAACCAATTGGAATTGATGAATTGCCTAAGGAGTTTGGTGGCAGCACTGAGGCAGCTGCCGCAACTGGTTCTTCGAGCACCACTGCCAGTGATGAACATTCTTCAGACTTGCAGTCACCCGCACCAATGGGAGCATCATTTGAATCATTCGATGCACCGTCAGATCACAACCTGCTTTCACATCGCGGCAGTTGCCAGTTCTCGCCACCAATTCGTTCACCGCTTTCGCCAGGATCGCCGGCTGCTTCGTCAATGTCTTCAATTAATCCAGCAGCTGCATCCTATGTTCATCATACTCACCACACTCACCACTACCACAATCAATATCACCATCATCACTTCACAGATAACTCAAAAATTGGCAACGCTTTCAAGAGGGTGCGCAAGCGTGCACGCAAATACACAGACTTTTTGCGCAAAAAATAAAAATATAAAAACGTGAATTTCTAAGAAAGTAGTTTCTAAAACTAAACTGCCACATATTTTTCAATTTTACATAGATTCACCATATTTTGGAAGTCGTTATGTGGTTGTATCGCTTAATAAAAACCAAAACAAAAAAGCGGACCAGCTTTAGAATACCAACAGCAATTACGATAGCCAACTAAAAATCATTTGGAAGAGCAAACCAAGCAATCAAATCTCATCCTCATCTACATCCACATCCTCATCCAAACAAAACATTGTAATGTCAAGATTTGCAAAAGTATTAGATCGAAGAAAGGTAACACATATGGGAGCATTCAGCATTAGGCGACTTAGTTCCCATTTAATCCTGCTAAGCAATATTAGCTAAAATTATTATAAATACCTAATTAATTTATAAATGAGAAATTTATTGAAAAGCACTGAGATATATAAAAATATATTATATGTTATTTTGTTCACTGCCAAAAACGAAATCTGGCAACGCTGCTGTTCAGGCCAAATGGCGTTGCCAACTAGGAAAGCAAAAAATGCTGGTGTAAAAATAAAAACAAATATGCAACTTAAGTAATTAATTGATTAATTTACGTAATTAATGTAACTAACACTTATAAGAATACAATGAAAAAAAAAAATTATTTGTAATTAAGTTTTTAACATGTAATTAAGATCAAATTATTATAAATAGAAACACGAAATTTCGTCAAAAGTAAAAAAAAAATACTAACAACGACTTTAAAAATATTTTATCTAGATAAAAGACGAGAAGTAATTATCTAGTTCGGATTTAGGAAATGAGTCTATAATATTGCTACAGTTATATTTCACATTTATATTGTTCTGTATTTAATTACAGTGTTCATATGAAAATAAATCATTTCGAAGAACACTTTATTTTATGTTGACAAAACATCGCGATTTTAATGGGACAGTTCCTTTTTTTAACAACCCGAATATAGTCAATCTATTTAACTACATGCTGGAGAAGCCCAGATATATGTACTATGATTTCTTCTTTCTTTTTCCATCACACCTAACGAACACCAGTAGTCATTTCAAGTTATAGCTATTCTTCAGACGTGACGAGATATAAAACACTGTACAGTAATGACACCTGACTGGAAACTATCTCTTAGGAATGGAAGTAGTTGTTTATTCTATGAACATATTTTTATATTCATATAAAGGAATTTATATGGTTGTTCCTCTTTTTGTCAGCAACGTTATATCGCTGTGTCGCTGCACAGCTGAGCTGCATTATCTCATCGCATGCATCGTCATTACATTTGATGTCGTCAGATAACTAACGGATTGATAGCTCTCTGGCTGCGTGTACAGTATATTTGGTTAAGTTCTTTGCCAGTGTTTCTACATAAAGACACTGTAGCATTTGGGAAACTTTTGTTGTAACTATAATCTAATACTATCATTATAATTATTGAAAATAATATAATAATGTTAACGATAATTATTAGAATGAGCAATTAAATTTTAAGAACACTATTTCCCAGCTATATGAAATGATTAGCAATATTACTTGAATCCGAACTAAATATTATGAGAGGAGAGGAATGTAATATATGAAACATTTTCAATAAAATCTAACAAACTAGTTAAGTATAAATGAAATCAAATTAAACTTAGTAAAATTTTTAAGGTGCACAATTAACGAGTAATTTTACAATAAAATTGGATTAATATGTAATCCAATTTTTAAAGAAGAATTTCTTTTATCAATTCTCCATTATTTTTATTTTTTTCTTTTAATTAAAATTATTAATTTTTTTTCATAAATTCTATAGTACTTTTCCCCGATTCTGATAGATGAAGTCCAATCGATGATTATTTATTCCGCGATTTTTAGAAAAAATTCATTTTCATAAAATACCAGACGATTGCTATGTTAAAGATATATCTGTTATAATTTATAGAAGTAATTGTTTAGTCTAATTGGAAAAGCTAAAATTTGTTTCATTTTCTGCATTTTGTAAAAATATTAGCCGGACCTACATATTTATTAACCGTAATAACATTTCGTTTGTTTTATAGACAGATTTTAATAAAATTGTGTCAATGCATAAAATTGGGCCAAAAACATAGCAGCCGGTCCGACTGCTCTTAGATTCTTAAAGTTCACATTAGCCTTCTCGATTTATTGTTCCGATATGAATCGACTTTGATTAATAGATATTCAATAGATTCAGAATATTTAGAAGAGGATTATTATTGTTTTTGTTTATTTTTACTATCACATTTTTAGTTAACTATATTAGATTTATATTAAAACAAGTGTTTCTATTTATGCTTACATTGATGATTCGTCTTTAACATTGTCATGTTAAATACTTCATGTTATTAACAGAGCATTCTTAAGTGAAATAGAAATTTTATCAGTAACAAGAAATATATTTACATGAAAGTGTTTTGTTGTTTTAGTTTGTGTGTCTTTTTTAATCAATATTTTTAACCTTATTCGTACTTGAAATAATTATTTAACTTTTTTATTTAACATTATTTAATAATTAGCTGAATTAAAATAATCACTTGTAGTTGTAAGTAACTAAAACAGAAAAATATTCTAAATAATTTAAGGACTTAATTTAGTTTTAGATTTTAAGTATCAATGTGAAAATATTGAACGAATATGTTAAAGAAAATATTAAAAAAAAATTAATAAACAAATATAAGAAATTAAGGCTTCAAATTTGTTAGTAAATAAATAAATTTAATTGTTACATTTTTCTATGAAAAAAAACATGAAATCGTATATTAATAAAGCTGGTATTATTTAATAAAATGTAAATAATTTATTAAATTAAATATTATATTAATTTTATTTTGGGTTTGAATGTTATGTATCATTATACAATTCAAAGTTCCTATATTTTTTAAAAACAGTCATTATAAAAATACATAAAAAACATGAAACAATTAAGAGATTAAATTATTTATGAAAATTATTTTAAAGAATAATTTTAAAGAAATTCCTCAAAATAATTATCAATATATTAAAAACTTTTAATTTCAATAAAATTAAATATTTTTAAAATTTTAGAAAAAGATTAGAAAGACCTCACCTGTTCCATTTTAAACTACATTAAAAAAAGCTCAGAATATATGTCCTTGATCATTTTTTAATCTGAAAATGGGACAGCAACGCAATATTCTTCTCTTGCTCCAGAAATCGAATCGAAATCGGATAGACAGAAAAAGTGTAAAACTGAAATTTTAGTACTAGTACTTAAGCAGAGACGACTATCTGCCAGATCTGTCTTCTGTCATCATTAAAAAATTTTCGAATCAATTTGTCGTAAATAAACATTTTATACTCGTATGTTATAGAAATTTATATATTATAATCCATTTCTGGAGACGCATGTGTGGTTGATTAATATTTTACTTATATGAGAATCAATTTTAGAACTTGTTATGAGCTTCTTACAGTTATCGATATGATGCGATACATAAAAAGGTTAAACGTGTTCTTTGATTCCTCATATGAAGACCAAAATGACTCGTTATCCCTTTTCAACGAATGCTAAAGACTCAGTTCTATATTTTAGTCAAATTGTAAAAGCTATCATTAATATCTCTCTGAACTTTTTAAGGTGAAAAATGAAATGGAACAGGTTTTATAAAATAATTAACAATTTATTTAAATTGTTTTAATTTACAATTTTTATTTTGTTTTATATTTTTTAATAAAATAAAGAGTCGATTATAAAACTGAAGTCATTTAAATATTATCTTTTTTTGGCGCCTTGGCGAAAAAATTTTGAAAGCGTCAACTGTCTTCCATTTATAATGAAATGATTGTAAACTTTTAATTTTAACTATAGTTTCTAATTATTTTCCACTGTATTTTATATATTGTTTATAAATAAAAAAAAAATAAAAAAACAAAAGAAAAGAAAATAAAAATTAAATAAAATAATATCTTGTACAACTTGTAAATAGCAAAAACGATTGAAACGCAAGTTCGCATGCAAATTATTTAATTAAAAATGAAAAATTAAAAAATATCTGAAATCTGAAAACTAAAATGATGTGCGAATGTGTGTTTGCAACTCATTTATATATAAATGTTATAGTCATCTCAATATCACGGTAAATAATTAATAATAGCAAATATTTATACAGCAAAACGAAATAAAAATAGTTAAAATAGTTGAAATTAAGTGATTAAATCGTAATTTAGTTAATATTTCAATGCACTGCCAAAAATAATAACAAACAAAAAAGGTTTTAAGATATTAAATATTCAAAAATATTGAAAATATAAAAAATCAAAAGCAAAAACAAAAACAAAAACAAAAACGAAAAAAAAATTTAAAGAAAACAGCATTTTCATATTTATATATATATATATATATTATTATTAAGAATTATATATATATACATAAATTATTTTTGTGCATTTATAAACAAACAAAAAGGATTATTATTATTTTTTTTTAATTTCACAGCACAAAATCAGTTAAAACTATAAAAAAATGTTTCAAAAAAAAATAAAAAAAAATTGTTAAAATAATTCAAATAACGCATTTCGATAATTATTTTATTTTCTTCTAAAATTATTTTTTAATACTATTTTAATATTTTGAAAAACTTTTAAAATGCATAGTTGAATTATAAATAACAAAGAAAACATAACATAACATAACATAACATAACATACCATAACAAATAATAAATAATAAATAATTATAATATAATATAGCTTAAAAATCAATTGAAACGATGTTGACTGGTTGTGAGTTTTATTCGATAAATATCTGGGCTTAACTGTTACGTAAAGCAATCTGCCAGAATATCTCTCGATAAAGTATCTAAACTATCCCAATGCTCGGATATGTATCTGCTGAAGCCGAACTAGTTTAATATTGTGCATTATTCTAAATGTAAATATTAACAAATTAACAACAATAAAACTAAAATAAGCAAGAACAAAATTTATTTAAGCACCTTAATGAATAATTCTTAAAAAAATATAAAAAAATATTAAACACATTTTTATTGTTCATTGGACCTTTTCATAAAAATAATTTAACCAAAAATTAGATCTAACGCAATTATTGTAGTGTTAAAAAATTAATTAAATTAATACAAAAACAAAAATTAATGAAATATTAGCTTAACAGAAATTATGAATAAAATATATATATGAATAAAAAATATATATATATTATATATATATATTACATATAAATATAAACAAAATAATGTAGAAATTCGTCATATAATTAATATAAATTTCAACAACACAAAATTAGTTTCAATTGTTAAAAATATATTAAAATTACTGAATAAAATTTAAAAATAATAATTAAAAATCTACTAAACATAATTCAAAAAAGAAAATCAGAAGAGCAACAAAACAGTTTTTTATATAAAGTTTTTTTTATAAATATAATTTAATAAACACAAGTTTTGTATTAAAAATTGTAATTTAAAAAAAATGCTAATTAAAAATTAATAAAAATATATGAAAATGAAGATGACATGAAAAAAAAACAAAAATAAAAAAAAACATTGTATATAAAAATTGATATGAAAACAAACTTATGAAGAAGAAGCAGTAATTACTGTATAGTATTGATTAAAAATAAATTACAAATAGGAAATTAAAACAAAAAAAAACAAAAAAACAAAAATAGGCAACAATAAATTTAACAAAATTAAAAAAAGTATAAAAATTGTGCAAATGAACTCTTAAAAAACTTATAAAATTAATTTAAAAATTAATTAATTTTGTTTTTAGAAATACACAATTATTAATGAACTAATGAAAAAAAATGAAGATATTAACAATTAATTTAAATAACAAAAACTGCTCAATTTAGCAAAGTAAATAAAATCATAAATAAATAAATTAATTATTATATATACATATATATAAAACGGACGTTTTACTTGATGACTTTATCTCATATTGAAATAAAAAAAAATTATCTCATTTTCTTAACATCTATGTAACATATTCTTGAATGACCTATTCAAGAATAATGGCCTATGACCCATCCGCTATAGATAAAAGGATCAATATATGAAATTCCATAGAAACAATTGAAAGTATTAAGCAGACGTCCACACACTTAACTACAAGCCGGAAATCAGGAAACTCACAGTACAAACTCGGTTAAATATAAACTTTACGATCTGACTCGTAGTAATATCGGTTGTACGATGGAATTATTTTGTCCTTATTGTATTATATAGTAGATTGAAAGCGTTGAATTGATGTAGCGTGTCTTATAATTTAAAACAAGTCAAGAGATAGCCAAAGTTGAAGCTTAATGATGTCGAGTGGCGGCTTATGATATCAGGAGAAATATTTTCTAACAAAATACAGTAAATCTAGGAGTTCCATAAAGTTTCTATCAGCAAAGTCTACAATTAAATAAACATGAAATATTAAATCAATCGAAATGCATACGCGTGAAACTTGAAAATGCGTTTGGTTGATCTAGTATCGTATCCAAGTATTTATATTACGTATAATTATAGCAGCGGAAAAATATATTAAAAGCAAAGTCTGAAATTACAGGAAGTAAATGGCATTGGGTCGATTACTCCGATTACTCCGATTACTGAGAAAATCAAACTCCTACTTTGTAAATTGAATCCACGAAGTTTCTGTCTATCTAGCGTAATTATAGTGAACAGATAATTTAACGGAATTGAATAGAGGGTCCAGCAGATATAGCTTAATTGATGCTACGTATAATTCCAGAAAACATTATAATAAATCTCCAAAGGCATATTTGTGAAAAAAACTGATACTTTGCATACTGTACACGTAACCAAATATAATTTATTAATTTATTTTGTCAAGTTTATTTATATCTCTAACGTTGACTTTCTAACTAGACTTGAAGACCGTACAAGTCAGAGAAGAGAATAAAATAAGATATACCATAATGTATAATAATCTTTCATTTTCATAGTGTGTATACCCGAATTACTAAAACAACAATTTAATGAACTGTATAAACTATTTGTTTACATCACTTTCTAAGCATTTTTATGGTATACCCCATTTACGTCCTCTGACCCTGTATATAATGCTATAATTAGATTATCGTACTTCACCCGAAAAATTCGCAGAATTATGTGAAATTTTTCATATAAAATCTATATAACAATATAGCAAATAGGTTCGATCCAAAAAAAGTAACAAAAGGCTTTAACAGGTAAACAAATCATGGAGTATTTTTTCTTTTGTAACAGGAAACAAAACCAGAAAATAACGACACTGTATGTTAACACACATTTTAAAGTTAATAGGCATAGGTCTCCTGTTAGGAAGTATGGTTTCACAATATGTCTAAGTAGTTCAGCTTGCTTATTTATGAAGTTCAAATCAGTGGAATAGTGCCAATGTTCAATTAAGTTTTAGAAAATGAAATCGTCACTGTTTGATTCCTCACTGCGCAGAATCCAAAATAAACCTCAACTGTCAAAATCTTGTTTACAGGTCCTTTTTTTCAGCTGCGTATTCAGAAGAAAACAATTCTAAATTGGTTTGAAAAAGTAGAGTTTAAATTTAGAGAAAATGTTGACCGGCTTTAAACGTAAGTTTCGGGTCATTATACAACGTGTGGTTCTACTTGGTTCCATCTGTGGTCTATTGATTTATTTGTACTCATATGTGGATCTGGAGTTTTGCTATAAAATAATGTCGCAGAACAGTTTGACTTTCATGGTAGGGCAGCAGCACTTCAATAACTGAAAACTGAAAACTAAAAATTGAAAATAAAATGTGTTAAATGTTACAGTGCAAGAAATACAAAAACAACGAGTACAGTGGCACACTTTGCGAGGAACTGTGCCTGCAAAGGGATTTCAAGAACTTCAAATGTCCCCACAATGAAATGAAAACAATTATTTTCACGGCACACAAAAATGGCGATAACTACGCTGTTAAGGTAAACGGTCTGATATATGAATATTTTTACTAGAAGTATATACTGTATTAACAAGTGGTTTCATTAACGTAATAAAAAGTTGGCCAAGGACATAGATGACGATCTGCGCTGGAAGAATAGCAAAAATGAATTGGTTTTCCCAAAAATTGAGGATTTTCACCGCATAGTCAAACTACACATCACACTTACTTATAATGTGTCATTGGATGATAGCATGGCAAGTAATTATTTGAGGGAGAGTTATATTACTATTGACTTCTAATTCTGTTCATAGATCGGGGCGCTAGTGAATCAAGAAATTGATAAAAAGTATCCAGAACAAATGTGGAGCTTTTGGCGTTTATACAAAGACAACAACTACATGCTTGGTAAGCTGTACGATGAAGAATCAGTTTTTCCGACAGTGCTTAGTTCTTGTGGGCCTTACTATGCCACGGAACATCTGCAAATATTAATGGCAGATCAAAGCTTTATGCAATATATGTGAGTAATATCGTTACTATACCATTAATTTCTTATGGGGTCTCATGAATTTATTTGCTAGTTTCTTCGATTGGCAACGTCGTCTAACATTTGCGTTAGATATTATGGAATATATATTCCGTTTGGAGGATATGAAGCCAGAGCCGCTTAAAATGTGTGAAATGAATATAAACCTTTTTGGCTTAACGGCAGATAAAAGGTATTCATCCTGGGTATGAGCTGTGCGTAAATATTTCAAGAATTATTCCATTTGCAGACTCAAATACCAGAATGCAGAATTCGTTATGGTGGAAAGTCAACTGGACAAGAAACTAGCGAATGGTAAGCAATGTAAACAGAATTCCGATTGCAATTGGCATTATTGCATGGGCAAATGCGATGAAGAACTTTCGGTCTGTACTGGCGTACAACAAAACAGCAACTTTCAAATATATTGTGAGCAAATTTTGAAAGGTGGTGGACTCTTTCCTGGACTATTGGCAACTTCTAAAACTCCTAAGAGTTTAATGGCTCTTCTGCATAATTGTATTGATCCTTCTAAAAAGGGACATTTCTATGCTCGTCCATATGCGCCCGGCACTGAAATTGTGTTACGTTTGTATAATGAACTTAAGAGGCTTTATAAAGAGTTTCCTAAACAAAAAGGAAATTAGAAAATTCTTACCAAAAACCTGAACTAGAGAGTAGTCGGTATATTTTGGCAAATTTGAATTGGGACCTCAATGGAGCTCCTATAACAATCATTCCTCTACATCTATATTCTTCCAATTTTTGAGTCATTTTTTAAATTCAAGACACATAGTAAGTAAATTTGAATAAAACAACAAACCAATTGGAGTCACATTTTTTTATAAATGTCGAAATCTGATAACAGATATGGAAATATATTTATTGAGAGTTATATGCTGCCTGTTATTCGCATATGAGATGTTGGCCAAACTATATTTACTTGAAATATTTTATTTTTATTTGATATTAAACTACGCCAAAGATTAAATTTGTTTGAACTCATAAGTTCACTCACGACGACATCGTCATCGTCAACTTAATTGTAATTGTGTGTTATGTTATATTGACTGAATGTATTTTGCAGGTGTTAATTGTAAAGATTTTGAAAGAATTTTAAACTAAAATAACTATTAAGTTAAATCTATTAATAAATAAAATTAGATAAATGTTAACCACAGATGAATTGAAGAACTTTCACTGATTTTTTTTACTACTTTGAAGACAGATTTCATATATTATATACCTATAAATAAACAATAAGAAAATGTAAAGCTATTACTGAGCCATTGTTAGGAAAGATCGAAACCAAAAATCAATAGGGCTCAAATCGATGTTTGCATTGGGATATGAGAACAGACGGGTAACATGATGAAGAGCGGAGCTAAAGTTGGGAATTAACATATTTATGCGTGAAAAATGTTTAACACATGAATTTATCCTGACGAAGGATGAATTTTGCTGTACGAAAAAATCTTCTTTCCTTCCTAAATATGCGAAGAGGCAGCAACCTGTTGAGAAGTTTCTAGCTGCACAACCGTGTCCTCGAAAAGTATACGGTATGGATGGCGTGCATTCAGTATTCATCAGTTTTTAACAATGTCAGTCAGTTCAAGTTCAATGACTTCATTAGTAGTAGTTGTTGTTTTTGTCATTGAAATAATTTTTGCAACATTTAGTAGCGTTGTGTATTTGTACTTAAGAAATATAATTATTTACCACAAAGAAATAAACGTTAAATTAATTTAGTTTATTATATTTTATATTTCAATTATCAATTTATATAATTGCAACAATTTATTTTATAATCTAAATTACAATATTTAAATAAATTTAAATAATAATCGACCGCTTCTGTCATTTTAATCAAAGATATCTACGTTAATGTATTTGAAATTCTTAAAGGACTGAGACATTATCGGTCCTTAAAATTAATCGAAGACAATCTTATAAATCTAAATACAAAATAAGTGCTAAAAAAACAAAATACACATAAGCAGACAAAAATATATATAATTAATTTGACAATCTTGTATAAGCGGATTTAGAGATAATAAACATAATTAAATTTCAAGAAGAAAAGTCATACGATTAGGGACAATCACAATTAAAATTAGAAATAGAAATAGAATTTTTTAAATATTGACATATATATATATTGCATATATTGATATATATACCTAGACATAGACATGTACAAAAATGTATGAAACAAGAATATGTCAGTTTGCATACGAGATAAATACGACAAATGACAGGGAAACAGAGAAACAGAGAAAAGTGACAATTATGGTACTTATAAATTAATTTAATATTAACATTTAATTAAATCGTTTAATCGACAACAGTAGTTAAGCGACGAGTGCTTGACATGCAAATTACGAATCTTAATAAAGCACCCTGTTTGCTGAATGCTTCTTCTATAAATCTCTTGAACAGTTTAAAAAATTAAAATTTTAACAAAATATTCTTTTACACAATTTCTACAAAATACAAATTCTTTTAAGTCGTTAACAATTTTTAAAATTTCTTCATTGTTCGCAATTATTTTTATTCTTTGTAAATTTAATTTGTAGGCAACCGTTAATTGTTTATGTTTAGATAATTTAATGTATTATTTCTCATTTTATTATTTTACAAACTTACGCTTTTATATTATTCAGAATTTTTTAATTTTTAATTTTTTCTTTTTAGTTCAGTTTTAAATAAAAAAAGCGGCGCTTTAACGCTCAGGCAATTTGCAATTGATTTTTTAGTTTTAACTTTTCCGTGTTTTTTTCTTGATTTTTTATTTTTTTTTAAAGAAAAGTTTTAAGCTTTTCCTCCTTTCATGTTACTTTTAATATTAATTATTTATTTAATTAAACTTATAAAAATAGTAGAAAATCTAAATAGGTTTAGTTTTTATTTTGTTTTATAAAAATGTGCTAATTATTCAATTTAGATTTAAATTTTATTATAAATAAATATCAATAATTTTACCTCAACGAATTTTTACGAAATTTAAAGTTTGTCTCTCAGATTTTTAGTTTGCATTCAATTTTTTAAGATTAAAATTTTATTCTTACTATTTCGGTTATTCAGTTTTTCGGTATTTCGGTATTTCGAGCTTAGAACGGTCTGTATAGAACTGCAGCTGTTCGCTGGCATTTTAATGTTATAAAAATAAAGCAATTACCCTAAACACTAAATTACATACCTAATAGATTTTTACGGTTTTGTATAATTTTGCGGTATCTCAGTTTCTTGTGTACGCGAATGAAGTGGATGTGCCGTCAGTATCTGCCTGTAGATTGTAAATGTATCTTTCTTTAAACTAGTATGGTTATGATGCAGGTGTATGCATGATGCATGATGCTGTGTAAGTGTGAGTGTTTGAAAGTGTTTGGTAAATATATACCATAGTAAATATTTACCATAGCTAAACTATTTTAAGTTGAAATTGCTTTTATTATTCATTTGTTTTATGCTGTTGTTGGAGATGCGGCCGGTGAGGCAACCGTAGAGTTAGTGGAAGCAGAGTTCGTTTTGGAGTGCCTTAATTGCATCAAGTAGTGTTGTTGTGTTGGTTTATGCAACGCTAACTGATCCAATGCTTCATCAATAGAGAACCATTGACGTTTGCGTCCAATGCTCCGTGAATCTTCCCACTCTTCTAGTTCTTTAGTTACAGTCATAACAAATACTTCTGTGCGATGTCTATGCTCGGTGTTCTGCTTAAGAAAATTTATTTGTTTGAAAAATGTATAATAAATAAATATAATGTTTTATATACTAACTTCAAAAACACCCAAACACCTGCCTAATTTACCAGTAACGCCTGCTTCTTCGAGCACTTCACGCACAGCTGTTACAGCAGGTTCTTCGTCGGGTTCAACACCACCACCCGGTACAATCCAAAGCTCTGGGCGGCGTGATGAGGTTACAAGCAGGACCTACAACCAAAGATCAAACAAATACAATAAAAATTTAATTTTTCTATTTACCATATTGATAGAAGTAAAAATAAATTTATATTTACCTCCGCCTCAGCATCAGACCGCACGCAGATACATGCAGCACGTCGTCGAAAACCATCCTTATCATAAATTCGAGTAGAATTTGGCTTCTCTTTAACCATCTGCAAATATTAAAAAGCGATTTCATAATATATATTAATCTCTCTGCTGATAATAAATGTATTATTTACTGTAAACATTCATAAGAGCAATAACCAAAAAACAAATATCAATTATTGAGTCACGTGAAGTAAACGCAGAAAAAATGTTAATTACTCAACACATCGAAATGAGCTCACATTAAAATAATTGCTATCTATATTCGAAGTAATGTTGTCATATGAATTATACATTCACTTTAAAAAGACACAATTATTTGATAAAAATACTTAATAAACACCGAAACCAAATTAAAACGAAGCAATCAGTGAATCACAGGGATTAGCTTAATCTTATGGTTAATGTATATAAGTGAAAGTATTGAAGCCCATATTAATCTGTTTAAAAAAGATTTCACGAATCTAAAATGGAGATTAAACAATCTTAAAAGTACATCTTTGAAGGAATTAGATTTTTTCGCCGTGATCTAGGTTAGTTTAAAATAAAATCCCATACATTCATAATCCGCTCTTGTTCTTAAACAATTCCCTTCCCGCATTCACACTTTCTTTACTCAACCATAATCTCATAATTAACGTGTTCCGTATTTATAACTCGTTTCATGATATCCACCGCGGACTACAGCAACAGTAACAAAGTACATCACAATAGATAATTTTACCTTGAGGGTTCGGTGAGTGGTTGAATATACATCCCGGACCCAACCAGCCATAAAGACAAGCAAGTGAAGGCAGATCCTAGATCAAGACTAATTTGACGGCGGAAAACAGAAGTTCTTGTAGAAAATGATGGAGCAAACACTGTACATCTGCCAGAATAAATAACAAAACAATTGAATATTTCAATGTCTTCAATTATTTCAACAGAATAATTATAAATAAAGGCATTACGGACGAAGAGAATACTGTGTACTGAGAACTATCTGGTAAATTATTACTAAATAACGCTAAAGAACGTATCTATAACATCAATATTACATCTGAAGTTCTGCTTGAGTGACAAAAATCACGCTATCGCCGCTTTGGGGCGTACGCTGCGCGAATCAAATAAGCAACATAAAAACTATGGTAATAATATGCATAAGTTATTATCGTTTCATCGGGAACACATTTCGCAGATCCACTGAAAATATTTGTCATATTAAAAGGCAAAAGTTGGTTGGTGATCAATTGCAGTATGAACCATAGTCCCTTTAATGGTTCTCCACTGAGTGTAAATAATGGTAGATGATAATATGTGATGAAGAAGATACTATTCAATTCATGAAAATAAAACGACAACGTTTGTAAACTGTGTAGATCGATCAAATTATTGCTAACCGTTTACAGTAAATTCCCTATATCACAAACAAGAAGATGAACTAAATACAGTTACTAGAGCACTAAGATATATTAACTGAATGAAAATGGTACTTGGAAGAGAGTCATTGCAAGTGTTTGACAGAAATAATTGAAGCATTTACTGAGCTCTATTGCTAATGATGCTGATAAATTATTAAACATGTATTCTGTGACACCGCCAACAAAAACTTTGTTTTATTTTTGTTTTCTAGCCATCGCCATCACCATCTACCAAAAATGGATAACTTTTTTGTCATTCTTAAATAATTGGAAACACTACGATAGTTCCATTGTAAATATTTGGTCAAGACGTTTGCATAATCGAGAAATAAGATACCTCATACATTATAAATCGTATATCATTATAAACCATTACATTCTGAACTAGCAAAACAAGATGAAAACATAACAAATTATGTGAAGTCAGTCAGTCAAAATAAAATTTGTTGTTTCTATGATGTAGCGCCCGCACAATATAACTATTAAAAATACACTTTTTATATTTCTAATTAAATTGAATTTAATATTTTAGGTTCCTTAAGATCACCTTTACATCCTAATAAATAAATTTTATATAAATGATGTTGAACATTTCTATCTAATATTACAATGAATAATTCCCAACACATCGGGATAATTTTACGAACCTAATAAAACTGATGGATTCAAAAGCGACCGGATTAAGAGAACCAGGTCCTCACATGTTGGAACAACTACAATGAAATTATTTATGTGAGAGGTTACGAGGTTTTGACAACCGTAGTTCACATATTTAAATATAAATAAGCCAGTAAGACTTAATACTTTACTTAAAAATAAAATAAAATTATAAGTGAAATATATATTACTATTATTGCTGACTTCATTGTTTTGAACACAAAATATTATTTAAGAATTTTATCAAATTATTTAACACGTGAATGATGTTCACATTTCAATCATTTCAGTAATAATCAAGTAGAATGTCTTTGAGGTACTTGGAGAGCATTTATCGCGACATATCTTGACACAAAATCGAAGTAACCTGCTGTTGTGCTGTGTGTAGTGGAACAATTTTATTCGCTAATTTGTTATTTTGATAAAATTTATGCATTTAAATATAAAACCGTGATTTAGTGCCGTTATCTGATTGTTTGCATATTTCTTATCAATTTAATTTCATTTTATTTAGTATTAGAAGACTGATAAAGTCTTCTGTAAATTTTTATTTAAAGTGAAAGATAAGTGAGATATGCGTAGCATATAACAACTTTAATTAGGAATTTAAATATATCAAAAATCGCGATATAATTAAGTGTGAAAAAATAGCTGGTAATTACAATTGCAAAATATTTTGTGGGTTCAATATGAAAATATTTAGACAAGTACAAGTATTAGAAATCTAAGTGCGAGCAGATTTATATGTTGAATTGAATTGTCTTTATAGGTGATCAAGTGTCGCTTAACTCTACTAACTGGGTTATACTGATGATAACAAAACAAGCACAATAGCTTGGAACTAATTTCGACAGTTTCTTACAGTCACTTTGTATAGCAAATAAGCTATTAGTCTCACATTTGGTCAAGAATCCGAAAAATGGGCCAAATATTATCCTAATCAATAGTATAGTTTGACTCTATGAAAAAAATTTGATACCTCCAACTATTGGGACCTGCAGAAGTTTGTTTTAATTCTGTTTTCTTTCTTTAATGAATAAAAATAATATTTTGCACTCACCTTAAAGTATAGTTTTGAGTATAGACTTAAGGTTATACAAAATCCTTAAAAACGACTTATTCGTAGATTTTATATAAAAAAAAAACAATTAAAAATTTCGTTGCAAAAGTTTTTTTGTTCGTAGCCAAAAAGCGTCTAAAACAGCTCCCGTAGAAAAGTCCGAAGGAGGAGTGTGTGTGTGCTGCTGGTGTCTTTTGCTGCTGCAAGGAAGGCAGGTGTCGAAGGTATTGCTGTAGTAATTGTCGGCGGGCAAGTGCTGCTGCGGCTGAAATATGTTAAATCCAAAATAAAATGTTCCAAAACAACGCTTTAGTAACACATGGGAACTGAAGATGCAACGGCTCGTTTGCGATAGACTGTGGTTTAGATAAAATGCAAGAACAACGCGTCGAACTCTGTTGAGTAACTTTTTGTAGGCGGCGGTGTCGGCTGTCGGTGAATGGGTGTGTTTGGTTTTCGCACACGGTATGCGCGTTTTTAAACACTTTAGGAAAAACCGAAATTGTGAGAAAACTTTAAATTATGCAAAAAATAAAAACAAAATAAAAAATATATGGAAAGTTTTAAGAAAATGTATTTAACTATGCAATCTGATCATTTTGTTGTTGCAATTGTTGCTGTTTGCCGTTGTTTGCTTTGTTGCAGTTTTAAATGTTGATATTTGGTAAATACTATTGTTGTTATTGCTGCTTTCAATTTTACAAATATATTTAAGTAGCTCCAGCTATAAATTTTTTTGTAAAATATTATTTCTTTTATTTAATTATTTTTTCGTCCGATTGAGCAACTTTTTTTGCTGCCAGACGTGCAGTGCTTATCTAAGGTTAATATACACGTTTTCCATTTTCTTCGCGGAAATTCTTTGTGCAACTTCAGTTGCGTTTTACGCCAGACAGATATTTCGCACTGCGGCTTCACCGATTTTATAATTTGCTATCTTTAATTTTAATTCGATTATTTTAATTTTATTCACGTTCGGCTTTCGTGAATAATTATGCAGGGTTGCATCACTATAAAAATGTCCATAAAAAAGCAGGGTTGATATTCAAACTGTCATTTTCAAAATTATATATATATTATTGCATATAGACAACACGTTAAAATATATGAAAGATACTTTTTTAATATCGATATTCAAGCAATGTCTTCTTTTATTCAACCAAACAAAGATTGCATACTTTTATTAATATATCAATCTATGTATTCATGTGACAAAATTTGCTACATATGGCAAAGAGCACCTTGTTTGTTTCGTTTAATAATGTTTACAGAAAGGATTATACGATTTTAAATAAAAATTTACCACATCATAAGACAATATATATATGTATTTGTTGCTATAACTTGTTATTGTATTTGTTTTAAAACTACAAAATTTTCTTTGATCCAAATACGCAGAACCTACTACTTATGTATGCATATTAAATACTATAAATATTATATTACGAGTAGTTCCATAGCTCAGTAATCGTTCATGGGTTAAAATGACAAACGTCTTCAAGTCTCTTTTTAATTATTCTCGCTTAAGTATTAAAATGAAACTTCCAAAAAAGCGAAATAGTTTTTGCTTGTCTTGTTTTATACAAAAATGAGAAAATTACAAAAAGTGAAAAAAATAAATTTGTTTTTGTATAAAATTTTTTTTGAAAAGTAGTGAACTACAACAAAAATTCTTATTTTTATATTATTTTAATCAATTGAATTGAACTTAGAGCTGTTTCGAGTATTGCTAATTACCCATCATCAGTAGTCTTGGAATTATTTCTTATATTTAATTATATGTAAAGTAGCAACTGCAAGTAGCAAGAGTTAAACTCGTGCCCTGCCAAATTCGAAGCTCAGAGTCTGTGTTCATTAGCCTTGTATGTTCGAACTTGGAGCTTCTTGTTAATTTGCTGTGAAAGTTCATTAACAAATTTAGATATATAAGTTGATATATTTTTTGAATATGTTTTTCAACATTTCTTATTTTGTATTTTAGAGTCTAAGCTGACATCAAAAAGATGCTAAAAGAAAATAATTCATAAGTAATATGATCTGAATTGTATATGTAAAAGAGTAAAAGAACAACAGATTAATAAAATGGTTAATATGTGATATATATCTTCACTGTAGTGTTAAATCATTACTGCCTGGGGTGAATTAGAATGCTTATACATTACTGGACATAAAAAGATAATTTGTCTGTTTCATTATGTAGTTTAGTCTCGCGCTGATTGTGTTTTTAGAATAAATTTTACAAAAAAGTGAAATTTCGTTTTAGTTTATGCCATATTGACATAATTATTTATTTAACATAATTTGCTATAGTTTCGCAAGTTTTTTTAATTGTCACATTGTTACAATATTTGCCATGGCAGAGTTGAACAAAGGATACTAAATTGAAGTAACAAAAATATTCGTTGTAAAATTTTAGAAATGTGTGTAGAACGATACATGTTGGACTTTTGTAATAATTGAATAATGATAAAAATGAAATTGACTTATTATTTAGTAATTGCAGAATTGTGGTAGGAAAATATTTTATAAATTTAATGCTGCAAATGCAAAATATCATTATATACTGTATATCTGAAATTGACTGCATATAAAGTGGTGACTTTATATAATATTTGTGTTGAATTGGTTGGTTTGCCATTGGTTTATATATGTGAAGGTTTGTTGTTTTTTTTAGAGTTCGTCCCAAGAATTTTTTTACGTGGTTTTGTTTATATACTTTCGGTGTGTTCAGTGCACATAATTTTATGTGTTGTTGCATTGGCTAAACTGAAAATGATTTGGTTGCCCTCTAGCGGCAACTAGTTCAGTAATAATGAAATATTATTTGGAAATCAGGAAAATTAAACAAAATGTTTTAAAAACTACGAGTAGAAAATTTATATAAAATTTTGTGATTAATGCAGTTTTAGTAATTAAACATTTATTTAATAACTGTTTAAAGTTTTTTTTTTGAATTTATTTAACAAACTAATAGATAGCGGAAACAGTATGCCTTCGATAGCATAATTAAACTACTTGCGTTAGCACTTCGAGCAATTCAGATTAGCTTATAGATTCACATATTAATATGTTTTTGTTGAAGGCGTCGCCGTGGGTATTAGGAGCACAGTTTTTTTGGTAATAAATTTGTGCTATTATTGTCCGCGAGGGTTGCTTATCTCGATCTTACCGACAGAATATGATCCCCTTGCGGTAAAGAGGTTAGAATATGCTGGTAGTAAGTAACACAACACTTACGACACGACCGGAGGTGTAAATCCGGTACAATGGGGGTCAGTGCCCGCTGGTTGGACTCGTAGTGCGTGTAGTTGATACCCAAACTTACACGGGAAGAATGCATCATTTATTCGGCGTGGAGTTGCGTTTCACCATCGGGTGTTAAGACCCAAAGAATAGCAGAGGTATAGATGGGCCACGTACTAAACCAAGGTGCAAGTTATATCTGTACGCATTTCTTCATTGATTCCAATGGAGCGTTGATTGACGCGTTGTATAAATACACGTGTTTTTGAACAGCGTAATATTAAGCCGTCAAGACATGGAATGTTACGTTAAATAACATTGAGACATTGACATTGACATTGAACATGAGATGTTCTTGTTTGTTGTATCTTGTATCAAAATTTTATTTTCTTACCCGTTTTAAATAATATGTACAGTAACCTATTTGGTATAAACGCAGCAAATAATTTTTTGGTTTTTAGATGTATAAGATATGAAAGATAGGTTTCCCCAAAAAAAGTTTTTGGACAAACAGCCTATCATATCTCAAAAACGATTCATTCCAGATATGGATTTTCAGTCCATTAAACATTCTTTAATTTAACGGCTAACTTGTATTGTATTATTATGTACGTAAATAGATTCAAGAATTATATTGATTTAAAATTCTTCTGACAGAGCTTTACTTGCTGAAGTCTCTTTTAATGAATAAAAAAATATATCAGCGCTTTGCATTGCGAAGGACGTTCTGCATTCTACAAATGATCCAGCAGCTATACTGGGAATATTTCTTATAGCTTTTGAGGCAGAAATGTGTGTTAGTGAAAAACATGTCACAGAATGGCTGTAACACGAAGAACATCAATGTTGAAAATCAATTATTATAATATATACACATATTTAGGGAATCACCCCTCAAATCTTTCAAATCTTAAATACCTAAATTCAAGTGGGCTCAAAGCCATAAGCATTTCAGTTAAATGGAATTTCAGTTAAATAAACATTTCAGTTGAAATAGTAAAGAAACTAATAAAGGAGGGCTTTAGCTCCATAGACACTATGTGAGTATTCTGTGTAAATACTCACTTCTTAGTTACATCGGTACTTAGAAAATCGATTAAAAATGGTTGAAGCTATTTAAAAGGTTCAATTGGATTGAGAGTAAAGTGCTTCCAAGTTGTTTAGTCTAAATAGATCTTAAATCAATTACTTAGTATTTAATAGGCTCTCCTTAAGTACGATCGTTAAGAGTTAGGAAAATCGATACTGACACAAGTATATTCTGTATAGTAAAGTCTAAACATTCAGTTTTTTTTTGGTTTATTTCTACGATCGCCAAGAAGTGAGCATAATATCTTAATCTAACTTTTATTAAAATTAACAAAATAATGCTGTAGACGGAATACTACTGCCAGGCAAAGCATTATATATCTAGTGCGCTGTGATTATGAATAGAAAATAAGAAGATTTTTTATTAGACCTTCCTATATAAACAGATTTTTTCCTACTTTCGTTAAGAAATAATGACTCTTCGTGTAAGAAGTGTAATATAATATGAAAAGTCACATATAATAGGTATTCCAAATCAGTATAATTGGTAATTGTGCGAGGTTATAAGAGATGCTGGAATATCGTATTTTTGGCAAAAATATTTCATTGTTAGGAAGGTAAGCCCATAACGTTTGTATTGCTTAAAGAAAGCACATGATAAATAGAAAGATAAATAGTTTACAAAGTTTATTTATTTTATAGTGAGGAGATATGATGTCTTCCATTACTATTCCCTCACTACCTCCATCAGTGAAGGCTCTTACGGTCACAGTCAATTGTCGGAATAATTTTACTTGATTTCGAGACGAAATTGAGTTGTTTTTATTGTTCTGCTTATGCTGACGTTTGACATTTACTGTTACGAATTTATGTTAATTTCGTGTGTTTTTGTTTCAGAGCACCTTTCCCTCCTTTTTCTCTGTCTGTCCGTAACGAGGTCTGTCCATTTGTCCATACGCTGCTTATGTGTCGCGAAATGTCACCGCTCTGACAGGGCATAAATACTGAAATATTTATTAATTTCTTCAATCGGAATCAGTGCACATTAAATATTTCGTGTGTTTGTCGCGGTTAGTCTGGTGCGGTGTGATGCGGTGTGGTGCAGAGCACTTTCAGGACACCGCTCGGAGCAGTGTAATTTTATGGTGTTGCGAGTTGTAGAAGAAGTCACAATTCAGAAATTATGGCGATGCAACAAGTGTTGTTTGTGATTCTGTTAGGAAAGTTGATGCTTCAATTCGAAAGCGCTTCTCCTTGGCCAGTCGTAGTTGTTGGCCGCGAAAAGGAGTCATATTGCAGGTAACGAAAGTACGAATCGTGAAGTTGCACTTTAATCGCAGCAACTTTGGTTACTGTTGGAACTGTGAATGCGACGACAACAGGCATGATCGACAAAGGCGCACTAGCACCAACTAACGACATCCAACATCACATAGAAGAAGGTTAACTGGAGTAAGAGGTACATAAATAATAATTTCATCATTGAGCTGTGATTTATTTGGTTTTAGTTGTGCCATTCCACTGCAGCTACCAAAGCAAAGACCAAAGCAGCGCTCGCTCCATTTTGTTTGCCGTTTACCTACCGAAGTAACGCGGTGTAATGCAGACGAAGATTCATGCACGTGCCCATAAAAGGTTTCATCTGTTTGACTGCATTGTCTGATATTGTCCGTCCGTCGGTCTTTGTGTTTGCTTGGATATATGATGTCATTTCTTGTGTTAGCGCTCTTAAAAGAACGCTCTTTTTTATTCCA